TTTACCCGACTGTAATGTACCCCCCCCCCCTGCTTATTCAGCGGCTGGCTGAGTCGTTGCGAAATTTTCGGCCTAATTTTCAAATATTAACCCCCCCCCCTCGAAAAAATCCTGCGTATGCCCCCTGATGCATGTAGCAGGTAGTTTATGATATTATTTATTATTGTTATTCTTTCCTTGAACTAATTTTTGATTCTTTTCCATATTGATGTATTTGTAATTTTTCTTTATATCTTTGAACTTTGTAATCTTTGTTTGTATCAGTCTCCCGACTGTTTTAACATGGAATTTTGATTAAATAAACCGAAATAAAATGAAATGAAATAGCGCATCGACTTGTTGCCTAGTTTCCCGAGTTGCAGTTTTAGGTCCTTGAAGGGCACTATAAATGTCATAAATAAGAATAAAAACAATAACCATGCACTTTGAAGACATTTGCAGTCTCAAACAAGAACTCAACTCGTGTCCCCTTAGTTCCCTTTGCGGCCGGTTCTCAGACCGAGAGGAAATTCTCGTTTTGCCTATTGGAACCGGTTGGGCAGTGTATCAAGCCAATGGCAATCAATGAAACCGGAAGTCAACGAGTTAATAACAGGGACTTTTAGATTTGCACGTCGACAAAGTGGACTGCTACGTGTGACGTCCTCGATCTTGAGGCACTGGCAGTGGACATCATTGCCTTAAAGAAGGACGTCACACGTAGCAGTCCACTTAAAATTCCCTATAATTGGCTAAACAGCGCCATGTCTACAGTCTGGGCATGTAATTCAGGCGCGTTAAATTCCGATGAATTAATATCGAGGAGTCTTTTAATTGTACACATCAGTAATTATGATATTACATGTTATAACACACTTGTTAATATGAATATGACATATCCCACGATCTGGAAACATAAACGTAAATACCCCTAGCTACTTTTTTTGTTTTCAATGATATTTTATTTTCTCCATTGCTTTTCACAAACAATAACAACAATTATAATAACAAACAATAACAAAATCAATACATAAAATAATCTGCATGTTAATATTATTCTATAAAATATGATTTTACATTCACAGCTAAATAATACAAAAGAACTTTTACTATTTACATCAATACTTACATCAGTGTTCAAGACATTCCTATAATGTTTTAAACAAAAGATGGCGCCAGACCACATTTGACAAGTTTTTTTTTTCTCTTTTTTTCCTCTCTCCAATGATATTTCATTTTCTCCATTGCCTTTCACAAACAATAACAAAATAATCTGCATGTTAATATTATTATATAGAATATGATTTTACATTCACATCTAAACAATACAAATGAACTTTTGCTATTTACATCAAATAAAGCATGAAACATACATGCATGAAGAAGGCATGAACATAAAAAGACATTGAAAAGAAAGGGAGAAAAAAAATACTTACATACACACATACACACACGTGCACAGACACCCACACAAACACCCACTTAAAACATGCCTACATTTTGTGGGAATCTCGACCATTATATCAGCCATGTCCATTTCATTGCTTCTATACGCCTTCCTTATTTTATTTATTCTGCACGAAGCTATTCTAAATTGTCCCACTTTCTAAAATGATATGTGAGTGTACCTCCGTCCCCAGCTAATTTCTTCTCCTCCTTTCTATTTTCTAATAATCTTTTCTTAATCTCCAAATAAGTTGGTAGTTTTTGTCTATTTTTACTATCTATAAATATCATATATTTTATCAAAATTATGATATGATTTAATAACTGTTCCTTCCCTATGTTAAACTCAACTATCCCTACATGGATACCTTTCCAATTTATATTTGTAATCTCTACTAAATTAAATAAATTCCCACACTCTTCCCAAATTGGTTTTACTTTCTCACAAAGACAAAATAAATGCTCATAAGTTTCTTCATATTTACCACAAAAAGAACATAAATTACTATTAACCATTTTAAATGTATATAAATGTAATTTAGTATATATAATATTATAAAGCATTTTAAATTGAAATTCTCTAAGCTTACTATTCAATGTGCACTTTCTAAGTCTTAAAAATATTAGTTGTATATCTTTTCCATGAATATTATAAGTCTGTTCTAAATGTCGTTCTGCATATGATTTTTCTACTCTCTTATTTAATAAAAAAGCGTATATAATTTTTGAGGTTATTTGATCTAACATATATACCTTTTCAAACATAATAATATCCATATCTAATTCCCTATCTATATTTGAGTGAGTATTTTTATTTAAAAATTGTTTCCATGAAGACGGGATGCCAAGAAAAATACGTTGTATTTTACTAATTTCTAAACTATTTAAACCTTTTCTTTGAAATTCCTCATTAGATTTTATATTACCTTCCTTATCAACAATATGATGCAACTTATACACATTTTTGTTAAATAATCCCTCATCGAAAGGAACATGACCATCGATAAAAACAAATCTATTACTATAGATAATCTCATTCCTCCTAGAAACACTTTCCTTTAACAAAAATATTTTCGTAGCCATCCAAACATCCAACATGTCTCTATAAAATGCTGGTAATACTAATTCAGATATACCTACGGTTGCATTATTATAAAATATCAAATTCCTCCAGCATCTTTAGTTAAATAATTAAAATATTGTTTCCATCCCATGTTTGCATCCCCCGTTAAAAGTCTCTTTACCCACATAATCCTCTGCACTAAAATAAATAAATGAAAGTCCGTTAATCTTAGTCCACCTCTACAATAATCCAAGAACATTACATTTCGCTTTATCTTATCATTTCCTTTCCACAAAAAGTCAAAAACCAGTTTATCCAAATCTGTAAATACCCAATTTGGTACTGGTGTCAGCGCCGATACATAAATCAATTTTGACAAAATAAACGTTTTTATCAATTGAATTTTCCCCATTAAAGTTAAATCTCTTTGTTTCCACCAAGACAACAACTTTTTTATTTTACTCAAAATTTCCTTATAATTTTTCCTTTCCTGAATTTCAACATCTAAATAAAAATATATACCCAAAATCTTGACCATTTGTACTACTTTACCAAATGGAAGAGCAATATTTTCATTTTGAGAAGGGCCTAACAATAATATAAAAGTTTTTTCTTTATTAATTTTTAATCCAGAATTTTTAGCAAAATTTTCATACAGTTTCCCCACCTTTTTAAATGAATTTGAGTCCCGAATAAAGAGAGTCATATCATCTGCATAAAGAATTTGTTTTACATGTACGTTATTAAAAGTAAATCCTTGAATTTCAGGGTCTTTATATATTGAACGAGCTAAAATTTCAATACAAAGTATAAACAAATATGCGGACAGGGGGTCCCCCTGTCTAACTCTCTTAATATCAAAGTACCCAGTAGATGAGCCCCCATTAAAGACACAACTTTGAGCATTATTATATATAGTCTCCACCCATCTACAAAATGATGGTCCAAAACCAAATGTAAACAAAACCTTCTGCAAAAAAGTATGTGAAACTGAAACGAAAGCCTTTTCAAAATCAATTATCATCATATATCCAGGTATTTCATTGACTGATGTATGATGAATTATATCATCTATCATTCTAATTGCTTCACCTATGTTTCGATCCTTTAGATAACCCACCTGGTCGACAGAAATTAAATCATTTAAAACTTTTTTAATCCTTATAGAAAGCACTTTAGTCAAAATTTTGTAGTCTACATTCAATAAAGATATTGGTCTATAATTTTTTATAAATAAGGGATCTTTTCCTTCTTTATGAATCAAACTAATGACCGCCTGCTTTTGTGATGAGGAAAGTTCCTTCTTTCTAAAAGCTGAATTTACAGAATCTACAACTAAATTTCCTATCAATGGCCAAAAGAGTATATAAAATTCAACACTTAATCCATCATTCCCCGGGGATTTATTAGATGCTACCTAGGGCCTTCAATAGTTGAATTTATTTATAGAGGGCGCTACACAAAATAATGTTTATATGAGATAATACAAAGTGTTTGTCAAATTTGAAAGAGCATACAATTTAAATGACAAATTTCTAATATTTGTGGGGCCCCAAATATTCGATAGTGCCTAATTACACGTTTTATTTCAGCCAATGCCGTGCAATGTTTGCTTTTTCGTACGCACAACCAGCTCGCCCGTGGATTTTTATCATTATTATATTATTAAATTAATTAACGGTCACTGTGTTTTTTTGTCGGAAGGCACGGTGGAGCTGAATTGATGTGATCGGATTAATCTAATCTAATCTAATCAGTAATCTCTGTGTGATTTCTTGTGTTTATATTTTGTTTCAATCATTCACTTTTACACCTTTCTCCTTTTTTATCCTCATATTTTGTACAACTCCTCCTTCTCCATGATTTTATGATTAGTTTCAAAGTAATCATTCTTTTATATCTCATGTCTACATGTTATTGTATCTTTATGATACTAATAATTAAGGATCTTGATGATAATACTGAAAATGGTGATAACAATAATAATGAACATGATGATGATGATACTTGTACTAGTACTACTACTACTACTACTACTACTACTACAACAGCTACTACTTCTGTATCTCCTGTGATATGTTGTGTTTATACTTCAATCGATCTGTCTCTTTTCTACACCTTTCTTTTATTTTCTCCTTCACTGAAGGAGAAAATAAGAGAAAAAGTTGAATGCTTAATGTATTTATGAACCATTTTATGATTAGTTATGAAGCAATCACTACTTTAAATCTGATATCTTCATTGTATTGTATAATGCCAAACAATACTGATAATCGTACTAATACTAATAAAAATGATCTTGAAAATAATAAATAGTGATAATATTTATAACAACAATTCTAATAATAATGAGATGATAAGTCACTTATCATCTCATTATTATTAGAGTCTGTTGTAATAATGATAAAAATGATGATGATGATGATGATAATAATAATAATAGTTTACACACGTCTTAAATTGTCTGTATTGAAAACATGTACTGTATGAATCACACATGGACGCAAATAACTATTCAGCAGTCTTCCCTATTGGAACATTTATTTCAATTACTCGTGATCCTATGTAAAATATATATCTAATGAAAAATATATATCAATAAAAAAATAAATATCATATTAACAAAAATATATAGAACCATACAGCCTTGTTAAAAACGTGAAAGACTTAGTAGGGGTAGCCCTAGTACTGTATAATGAATTGCTTCTTAGGAACATGAATATAAAAATGAAACAAAAGATATATTACATGTTTAGAACATAATAATTCATATTTTCAAATGGCAATACATTTGCCGGTAATTGTGCTACATGACACATCCATTTCTGCTTTGTTGCATTGGTGCCTGGCAAAGATGTCACAAGTTAATGAGCCAGAGGTAAACTATATTATTTTCATTATAGGAAAGATTCAAATTTACTGATTGTATTGTTTTAGCTCTGTGGATTTCCCCCATATGATTACATCATTCTGTGTACTTGATAGCTAGTTTGAACATCAGATGCATTTCAATTAATTGATACAAATCAGATGAATTAAACAATTTATTCATCTAAAACATATATAGATATAAATAGAGAGAGAGAGAGAGAGAAAGGGGATGTTATAATCCCTGCTAACATACTCATTTGAAATTAAACTTTTTTTGGTACTATTTGAAAGACTTGAAATTGGTCGACATTAATAGTACTGATATGCAATAAAAATCAGCTTATTAGATAACAGCTCAGGGAGAAAGCAGTATGTTACCACATTAATTAAAATGGAAGGTGAATCTAAATTACTTGATCAATAAATATATGATATAAGCCCCTTCCTAGATTAAAAATGCAACCCTTATACACACACAGATACAGAAAATTGTATTCAATTATACTTATCTTCAAAAATTTCTATATATTATTAGTTCTGTGTTTGTAACAGAGTATTGCTGATAAGCAGTATTTTTAGACTGATGTGAGTAATCCTTAATTAATATAATAGTATGATTGTTTGTATCAGAGAATTAGCTTGATTACATCAATTCATTCAGTCAATCGGTCAAATGCAAGTAAGCCTTGAATTAATCTAATAGTATGATTGTTTGTAACATGGAATTAGCATGATTACATCAATTCATTCAGTCAATCGGTCGAATGCAAGTAAGCACTTAATTAATCTAATAGTTTGATTGTTTGTAACATAGACTTAGCATGATCACATCAATTCATTCAGTCAATCGGTCAAATATAAGTAAGCACTTAATTAATCTATAGTATGGTTGTTTGTAACATAGAATTAGCATGATTATATCAATTCATTCAGTCAATAGTTAAAATGCAAGTAAGCCTTTAATTAATCTAATAATATGATTGCAAACACTTTGATATTTAGCATATCCAGAAGAGAACCCATCTATCCATAAGTATGTAACTAATTCACTATATTTTTTTTCTTTCGAGTTCCGTTGTCAATTTCATTCTTTGTCTGTAGGTAATTGTTTCATGGTCATCAATAATGGACTGGATTTCGCTCCACACCGTTCTGCAATGAAAAAAAGAATGGACGTGTTAAAGACAAATACATTCGGTAAAAGGGTCTGAAAATCAGACTATTACTGAGGTGATCGCAATAACTTAAGTCGATTTGACAACTAATGGTTGTTATTTTCCTAATAAAAGCCATTTTCAAACCCTTTCATTTTGAGGGAAGCTCTAAATTAGTATTGTCTTTCAAATGGTGTTGGAATTTATACTTTCCATATTTTTGGCCTGCAAAAGGTGTACCAATCACCTAAACAAATTAACATTTCCATTAACAGTCAGCCACAAAATCAACATATGTGCATAGCTTAAAGACACTTTCATTTTGTTCAACAAATTAAAAAAGGCACAGAAAATGACTCGAAATTATGCATTATTAACAATGGTTGGTCATGATTGTTTCAACATCACTTTCAGAATATGCAGACCCAAAAGGAAATGAATTTATGATTACACCTTGAACAAGAGCTTTGATAGCCTTTGAAAGTAAAGTGTATAGTCCATCTTCATTCTCTCGGATGCAACAGATATATGTCAACATCGGTAATGTCTCATGGGAAATAGTAAATATCATAAAGCCAAAAGCACTGAGTGATTCATACACAAGAGCTTGACCAACTTGATTTCAGTTGGTCACAGCATGGTGTATTTTTGTTTTGTGTTTGCCCAACAAAACAATATCAACATGTTGTGCTAAACTCAAATTGGACCGGCCAAACTCTACTGATCAATGGCACTGCGAATGCCGTAAATTGTCAAATACAAAGAATCTTGTACATACCTCTCTCCCACCTACCACATAGGGAGTCCTGAAATTGCGATCTTCATGACGCTGTTGGCAAAACAAACAATATCAAAAGACTTGATAATTTCTTTTTCTTTCAAAACATAATCTATAAAATCATTTAATCAAAAGTATACCGATTAAAAACAGATGAGAATCTAATTGTATCTTGAACAATAAAATTACAACAACATAAAATTCACTAGTCTTTAAGGGATCCGGTATCCTGGAATCAGCTCATGCTGCAATCATAATTTTAAACCTTTAGGTCAGTCAGGAACCCCATGACTTTTACAAGCCGATCGCCTGTCTGAATAGCAAGATATTTATGATTGGAATTACACATTTTGAAAACCGTTTGCCATGATCCCCTCCATGCCTTGAGGATTTTCAAAGCAGAGGGTTGTTTTGGGTTCAATATTTGTGGTTATGTTTTCTCTCAAACATTGCTCCCCTTAAAATATGCAACTTATGGGGGGTGTTTCACAAAGATCCTAAGTCGAACTTAACTCTAAGTTGGACTTGAAATAAAATATATTCAAAAACGAAAAAGTATTTTAGATTTTTTAAAAGAACATGAAATCTCCTTGATAATAGAAAATATGAATAATTTGAATCAACATTTTATACCTTTTTAAATAACTGTGACAAAATATTTTCGAAAGATGCTAACCGCTTTCCATAAGTGTTAAGGCCAACTTAGAGATAAGTTCAACTTAGGATCTTCGTGAAAGACCCCCCCTGGTCCAATTATACCATGAATCATGTATTTCCATATGCTGTCTTATAACTGTTTTTGAGAAAGGTGCATATCTTTTTATTTAGGATCTTTTCTCTCTATTATATGAAACAGGAGTGAACAAATGAGGAACAGACACGTACGAGACTCAAATGAAAAACATTTTCATTTCTCAATAAAGTTCATGAATGAAGTTGTTTAAAGTAGGCAGGTATGGTGTCATTAAAAATGGTAATGAATTTCTCCTAACTTTTGTACACAGCATTTTGTAATATAAGCAATGGATAAAAAGTGCAGGTGTTTGAATACTTCATATTAGTCATCTTTATTTAATTATTGAAAGTCTTTGGTTCCATGATAAATACTATATTGAATAGGGCAATTATTAGTGGGGCATATACAAAGTTAAACACATGGACAAGTAACTGTTTATACCATAGGGTCAGTTCCTCGGAGTCGATCCAGTGCTTGACCAACAGCATATCGGCGTCCTTCAAGTGAATCGTACTCATCAGAACCATTCAAAGATTCGTTTGCGTAGAAGCCTCTATTGTGTCTTCTTGGATCGTCATACGGTCCTTCACTGAAGAGAAAAAAAAACGTATGTATATACTTTTTTATGTATACAAAACGAGAACAATAGCATCACCAAATTGACCAAATGTGCTGAAACAGTACACCAACACTGAGAACTCTGATGGGTCAATAAAGGTCACTTCATCTCAGACTAAACTTACTGATTACAAATCAGTCGATACAGAAGTAAAACTTCCTGACACATGTACTCTCATCTTAATGTGATATATATGGTGATTATGTAGTGTGTTAGATTAGCAAGGCACCTCTAGATACTTGTGAGGCAAGTCCAAGATACGTGTATGTCCCACACTTTACCAAGTTATATTGCATTGTACTATGGAGTTGTCGACATGGAATTGTCAAGATAAAAATACCATTTAATTTGATGTTTTGTTTGCTTTAACCTCTCTAGAGGAGCTATCACCTTGCTATACTCGTCAGATATACTGAAATCATAGATGTAGTGGGTAACGTATGGGAAATAATAGCTTGGAACTTGCTGATTTGTAAGTTTATTGTAATACTCACGCGATCATCCTCTTTGTCATTTGATTTCGTCTGACACCTTGTACGAAAACGCAGCAGACACAGGTTACGAGGACGAGAACCAAACCAAATACTCCGAGAGCAATACCAATGATGGCTCCATTCGACAATCCTTGAGAAACTGGAAAAAAAATTGATCAAATATATGATTATGAAAAACAAGACCAGAGAAAAATATATGTGCACATGTTTGCAAAATCAGCTGTGACTGTGCAAAGAAAAGAGAGTAAGCTCGCATCTATTTTTGTTATACTGTATATATATTCATACATGTTTATACATAGGGAGAGTGATGCCTAGGTCACATTTGTCTGGGCAGCCATGCAGTCTAATATATCTACGGCCAATATCAATTATAGGACCGCAACAGCATTCTCACGGTCACACACAGTGGCAGTCACATATGCTAGGGTAGCTGCACGGTGTATTTTGAATACGTGGAGACAGAAAATCTGCGCCTGCCAGTACGGCCTTTGGAGTGATGATGCACAGTCGCCCAAGGTAGTCCCTGCGGCGGCCGTAGCTTTTTTGACAAATACTAAGGCAGACGCAAGGCGGCCGAAGGGGGACCATATGGCAACCGTTCGGCCAGACTGTTGCTACCGCTTCACCCCTGGAGAATATATAAAGTACAAGGCGACCGTATGCCCGACGCATGGGTTGCCGTGGAATGCTCAACGGCATGTCTAATATCTACGGCAAACCTAGAAATGAAAACAGTTTTAACTCCGCGTTATAATCCCAAGGCGTACGGCCTGTAAAGATAGGGATACGCCCTAGGGTGACCCTGAACCCGACAAGTATCTCTTGATTTCACGTGCATATGGCCACCTCATATTGGCCCTAGAGCAAATGTGACCTAGGCATAAGAGAGAGTCATGAGCAAATAAACACACCAAAAACAGATTAACAAAATCTGTTGGAGTAAAAGTTTGTTATTATAATTATAATCATCAAATGTAAGTTTGAACCAACATTCTTTGAGGATCACCACTGAAAAACACAACTTACCATTCTCGCAAAGGTCTCCTGTGAAACCAGCTAAGCAATTGCAAGGCTCTCCAGAAGTAGTACATGTCCCACCATTCTGGCAATTCGTTTGATCGCACTGAACTGTTAATATCAAAGATATATGAATGATTCAAATTACTTCTGATAACTGACCAACTTATTTTATCATTATTTCATTGAGAAAGTCTAGACAGTAGAAGGACAAGAGCTCTCCATCTACTTTGATATGAAGAAAAAGTGATTATAATGATAATACAGTTTTCTTAATACTACATGTGCTTCTACAGCATGAGTAAGATAAAGTATAAGTATACACTTTTTGACTTTGCTTAATTTATAGAACTGTAAGTATGAAATATTTTGATATAACATGTAGCAGGAGAGTCATTCCTCTTGCTTTTTGGTACCATTTTTGTTGGGCAGCTCTTCACGGTTGACTGCACAGGGGTCAAATCACACAAATTGGACAATGTCAAACTCTATGTGCACCAGCACCATGCCTTTTCTTGCCTTGGTATTTATACAAAACCATCTTTGATTTGATATTGTATGATAACATAACAATCGATTCAAAGGCAAGTCACTCCAAAATATCATAATTTGAAGCCTAAAATGATTTGTCACAAACAAGTTTGAAATACAAACACTATTTGCTGTTTGTTGTAGGATATCTTGAAAGGAAATTAGAGGCGTTGTGCTGGTGGATAAGTCACCGGACTGTAGATCACAAGTTATAGGGTTCAAATCACAGCCCAGCACTAACGTCCTTTAGCAAGATGTTAATCTACATTTGCCACCCTCCATCCAAGTGTTGAAAGGGTACCAGATAGGATGCAAATGTTAATGTAGTTTGCTCAGCATTGTGAGCGTCTGTAAAATGGCGCCTGGCTGGAATGCTCCCCAGGGAGTTGAGAATGTGCATACATTGTTTTAGGGAAAGCCTGAATCCTATGACCGGGTAGTGATATATCTTTAGAGCGGTTAGAGACATCGTCGATGTATTAAGCGCTATCTAAACGCCGATTATTATTATTATTCAAGGAATATCTTATCACTTGGGTGCATCACAGGCTAACTCGAGCCCTTAGTGATAGAGAGTTGATTACTGTTTAATCTTAAATATGATATTGCAAATAATTTAGAACCATCAAATTAAAATCATAAAGTATTCACAGTGCCAAGGCTATAGTATTTTGTAATACAAAAAGTATTTGAAATTTGCTTGCCGATTGTGTCCATAGCCTGTCATTGGCAAAAGTGGCTTTTTAAACATCGCAGACTGCTAAAAGATACTCCTTTCAAGATACCCAGTTAAAAACTTAACAAATATTTGTTTTGACAACTAAAAAGATAATGTTGTTTAATGTGAAATGCAATTTCCTTTTTTAAGGTGTCTTGAAATAAGAATGGCTTGTGAAAAAGTCTGTCATTAATCTTACCATTTGCCGATATAGTCGCTACCAGAGTTTGACCATTAGCTGATAAGTTTTGATCGATGTTGGTAGATAAGTCGGTTAAACTCGCAGCAAGCCCATCTGCTACACTTTGGCTGTCAGCCGCAAGTTCAATTTGCACGTCACCGATTACACTGCCTGAGCTGAATGACCGCACTATGCAACTAGTACCGGCAAGTCTAGAACCTAACTCTGCCCTTACATATTGGCTGAACTGATAAATGAAAAGTAGAAAAAACAAGAATCATATTATGCTTAGACTCATAGTGTACTATATATCAATAGATTTCCTTTAATTTTTTTTTTTAAAAATAAAAGTTCTCAAAATTAAATAAAGAAAGTTTGATTAAGTAGTAAAAACAAAGTTCTGGAATGATTAAAAGGATCAGAAATAAAAACATAATGAGGCCATAGTACTACAGTGTCTCCTCTTCATTCCATTTTTGTTTCTTCTTTAGATCCAGAATGCTAAGAAGTAAACATCATACATAAGCAGAAAGGGCAAAAATCACCGGACTGTTTTTTGTCCAATACAGTACAATACATTCTCAAATTAGAGGGATTTAATTACAACTGGTCATTTATCACTATTTTCGTGTGTACAAAATGGCATTTTTTCACTTGAATTATGCAATTTTCTTTTTCTATAAAACAATGCCTTCCGCACTATGCTTAGTGGCGGAGGCATAAAAGAGGACTACAAAATTATCATCTCTTGTTTTAACGGATCTACATGAACCATTTTTACAGTAGGAACCAACACTTTATCTCAAAGTTCCAGTAGAGTACAGACCTACCTGACACATGTTCACACATCTTAATGTGCTATATATGGTGTATATGTAGTGTGTTGGATTTGCAAGCTGAAGAGGCACCCACTTTAAATATTTACATCTACAAAATTGTCTTCAATTGTCTAGCATTTACTGGTGGAGAAAGATATACTTACAATGAAACAGAATGCAATTTCATATTCAATGAATTTGGCCGATGTCCTATCTGTTAATTCTAATGTATACGTCAGGGCTTGACCATTCAGACTTTGTCCTCTAATCTGCACAGTCACTCGACTAGTGGACAGACTGCTTGAGAGAGCTGGATATACAGAGAAAGAAAAACAAAAATAATGGCATGAAACCAAGATATTTATGGATACTTCAATGTGTTTCCTCCATGCAAAAAACATGAATACATTCGGTTTTGTATTCTCATGAAAAAAGATTTTCATAAGGAGACTACATATGGAAAGTGTACAATATATGCAATACCAGTCTCGTCAGATAAATTATACGGAATGTATCAAGTCATTTTCATTTATGTACACTTGATTATTTATACCCTTAACAGTTTTGTAATTATTTAAGTACTTGATAAATAGTTTTCTCTCAAGTTACATCTAAAAGTATTCAACAAAGTCCCTAATTCTACTAATCCACCTTTTTTTTATGAGTTAGGACAAAAGAATAAATATCAAATCTATAAGGGGTATCAGTATTTCAGTTGGTAACTGTTTATAGGTTTGACCAATTAACATTTGATGAAAAATTTTGCAAACATTTTACAAATGCATGCCTTCTTTCTAGATTAAATGGCCAAATTCCCACTTCATTCTGTCTGGTGTGAGTTATTTTGAATACTACTCATTTTTTTGTTTAATTATTAGTTGTTACACACTTTTGAAATCACATGCCAAAAACTAATAAAAATTCGTGTTTGAATAATGAACTATGTCTTCATTCAATTCTGCATGAAAGTGAATTATCTTGATATTAATTTGTTTGTTTTTGTCTTCCTGTATTTCTAATTTCACAAAGTTGATCATGAAACCCATATTTTTTCTTATGGAAAAAGAAAAACTTGTATTCAGACATACCAGTGCAAGAATTTTCATTCTCTAACATGAATCCAGCATTGCAGACACAAGTGTATGATCCATCCACGTTGACACATCTTCCATTACTACAGAGACTCGAACTAAGCTCACACTCATTAACATCTAGAGCAAAGTGGTAAAATGAAAATGTGAAACAATCTCATGAGTAACTTTACTAATAATGATTATAATGACAATTATAATTATGATAATAATAATAATAATAATAATGCTGATATCGATGATGATTGTCGTTGGCTTATTTCAGTAGTTGAATTCAGTACATGCAATCGCATAGGGCAAAAACCTGAAAGTGATTGGGAAAAGGTTGATAACATTTTACAATTCTTTGAGATCGCATTATTAGATTAAACGAGAAAAAACAAACATCTGAAACATAAGAACGTTTAGACTCTGTCCCTATCGTGAATTACGAGAACCTTTTCAAAAATTGCTGAACTCGTTGCAAAAATATGAGATCATGGTGAACACATGAAGTAGGAATATATTTGCCTCTACCCACAAAAAGAAAGAAATTTTCCCCATTTCCTTCTGTTATATGATGGAAAGAAAATGCTATGATTAAGCTTACCTGTTTCACACATATCCCCAGTAAAGCCAACAACACAGGTGCAAGTGAAAGAGTCAACTCCATCGGTACAACTTCCTCCATTCATACAAGGATTTGGAGAACAATCGTTGATATCTGATGGTTGGATTTTTGATACAAAACAACAATAAATAAATGCATGTAAGTAGATAGATAAATTAATCAAAAATAAATAAATGAATGAATGGGAAAATAACAAATGCATGAATATATGAGTTCATTTTTACAAAATATAAGTAATTATGATACAGCCCCATCTCTAAAGTAGCAGGTGTAATAATGTATATTTTCTGGCTGTTTTTTTTTTAATGTTTCACAACTGGCTATAAACATGTATAATTATGACTAACCTAAACAAATTAAATTCGACTCTATCGTCTTTATTTAGATATACAACACAGACAAAACTTTCAGTAGAAATAGTATTTTCAAGAAACATTGCATAGCCTTGAAATCTCCCGTTCATATATGTCTTAAAATGATCAAAATATGAAAACGAATTATCATCCAATGAGCCATCGATATTCTAGTGAACTCTTATTTCACCTAAATGAAACCAAATAAATCTGTATTTATTCATTTTTATCATTTTAGCATTGTCAGTTAGAAAAATGCTGTCCATATTGGCCTGTTGGCCTAGACAATAAAAGGATTAAGTATTGAATCAAATGAACAGGGTAAAAGTATATCTGTAAAGTGCTTAGAGACATTTGTATTAAGCGCTATATAAAAGCAGAATATTATTATTATTATTATCAAATATTGAGATTATACACAAATAAATTGCTAAGTTATATATACATATAACCAATAAAGGCACACTTAGAGTAAACTATCAATAATGAAAATGAATGCAAAGACTTTGTTGAAATTACAAGAAAATTAAAATAGAATACCCCCAAAACAACACACCAAAAGACAAATAAATAAACAACATCAACATTAAAATCCAACCCACTACTAACTATAACAATGCTATTACAAACTAACATAATTAAAGGGCAGTCCAACCCTTGTAATAACTTCATTTGCGTGAAAGCAGAAAAAACAGATGAACATGATGTCAAAAGTTTTAAAGAAATCGGCCCAAAAATAAGAAAATTATGAATGTTTGAAATATGAATTCACCACATTTTTGCAAATATCAAAAAAGCAATTAGTGGATTGTGACGTAGTGCAGACAACTCCCTCTTTTGTCGTGTACAACATTTATCTTTTTCTTCTAAGTGCCTTGTCCCTTGGGGCGCAACATGATGTATATTATGGACAATATAGGACCGGAGTGTTGGCTCAGTCAGTAGAGCGTCCGACTCACAACCGGGAGGTCGTGGGTTCGAACGCCGGCCGCGTCATACCGAAAGACGATAAAAGATGGGAGTTGTTGCTACCTTGTTTGGCGTTCAACAATAAGGGATAGAGCAACGTCGATCTGGCGCTGCTCAGTGGCTGCCGGGCTCACGATCAATTGGGCAAAAAGAATTTCCGTTTCGGTTTAATAAAATTTGGAGTGGACTATTAGGCTATTATTATTATTATTATTATTATTATTATTACTATTATTAACTATTCTTAAAGAGAAATAGCACCACTGAGTCATATATATTTTTCAAAAATCTAAATTTTAGTAATTTCATGTGCAAATGAAAAATATGGGAGACTTGAACGCCACTACATCACAGAGATATTACTGATTCAGCCAATTTGAAGAGACAATACTAATAGTGATTAAAACTTTAAAAAAACACTTAATTTTCTCATGTTTTATCTGATTTAATTCAAACTTTCACCAGTCTACTATTTTGTTTTGCATGCATTTTTCTAGAGTAGTTTGCTATCAAGGTTTCATTTCCCTTCAAGGGAAAAAAATGAGTGATGTGGAGGGAAAACTGATTTGCTTGCAGTAATATTTCGGGATTCAATCAAATCCCAATGCTTTGTTGTTGATAAGAACATGTGTATCAGCATTTGAATTGAATTATTTAGTATTTCTTTACATGCATGGATAATCTATTTACTTATTTATTACTTAATTTAATTGTGATTATTATTATTTATTTACTGATTTCTTGTTATTTTTATATTATTATTATTATTTACTTAGTACTTACTAATCTCGCACATGGTACCGGTAAAACCAGTAACACAATCACATAGTCCAGAGCTTACGCATGTTCCGCTATTCTGGCAAACAACGGAGCCACAATCAGCTGGAAATAAAGAAGATAAATGATAAATGATTCAGATCCTAAAGCACATTAGAGGATGTCGTAGTCAAGTGGCTACAACACTCAAGAGCGAAGGCATACATAAAACTTTGCGAGGACCTGTAGTCTATTGTCCGAGTACCAAGTCTCCATTCATTTTTTAAAATTAGAAAATGAACATAAACATGGAGAAACATATCCGTATATTTACAGGAACCTACCAGCTAAATTTGTTCAAAGAAGCTTAAAATAAATTCACACCAAGACCATACATGTTCTTTTTAGAAGACATGCAAATATTCAAAGAAATTCACAATTTTTGAAGAAAAAGAAAGTTGTAAAATCACAAGTTTATGCATAATAAAATGAAAATACAATTATATATGTTTAAATGAAGAAAAAAACTGTAGTATAATACATTATTTACCTAATGTAAAAGGTTTATTCGAACTATTTTTTTTATCTGCACAAGCTTATAGCATAGTACAAAGTCGATCAATACAAATCTGTAACGTGGTCCCACATGTAGAAATCCACGTGCTGGATGAGCTAATATGAGACCGGGCACCAATCCTCATGGTTGAGGCCAAATTTACGAAATGAAATGACTCAGGCCTACTTCTCATTCTAAATTAAAAGGAAACTACTGCATTTTCAGATAAATATCGAAGATGATTTACCTGTTGTACAAGTATCTCCGCTGAAGCCAGAAGCACAAGTACATGTAAAGGTGTTAACTCCATCAGTACAACTTCCACTGTTCATACAAGGATTAGGCGAACAATCGTCGATGTCTGATTTGGATGAATAAAAGTTGTTAAAATTATATCCACAAATTAGAATAGGAATATTTCACGGATGGTTGTATTTCAACTTCAAATATGTATGCGTTTTGGTGCATACGTTTTCATTGTTTTTTCTTAGCAGGGAGGGCGTTGTTTCATGAAACCCTCTTAACCAAAATCCAATTTAAAAACGCATGTTTAACTTAATTAATATATGCTAAAGATATTATGTTCCTTTTGCAGCCAACATCAAATTCTGTAGAACTTTGCAGGAATTATAAATATGTAATGTATGTCCTATCTGTGAAATTTAAACGTTAGCAGTGTTCTTATATTCAAATTATGCAAGGAAACCTGTTTACTTGCTAGACTTCACTGTCAGACACTATTGAGTGACTGACTGGCTTTTTTTCTTTCGGTAATGACATACATGTACTTAAAATGAGCTGTAAAAGGTACATGAGCATATGTCTACATCAATAACCCACTTCCTGTAATGGCCAAAATTAAACTGATTGATCTTTGTGTAGCACAAAACGTATGACCATTCGGTACAATGGTCTGAAAATCAGACTATTACTTACTGACTTGGTAGCACTCAAGTCGATTTGACAACTAATATTCATTATTTATTAATTAATATATGCTAAGGATACTATGTTCCTTTTGCAGCCAACATCAAATTCTGTAGAACTTTGCAGGAATTATGAATATGTAACGTATGTCCTATCTGTGAAATTTAAACGTTAGCAGTGTTCTTATATTCAAATTATGCAAGGAAACCTATTTACTTGCTAGACTTCACTGTCAGACACTATTGAGTGACTGACTGGCTCTTTTTATACTTTGGCAATGACATACATGTACTTAAAATTAGTTTTAAAAGGTACATGAGCATTTGTCTACATCAATAACCCACTTCCTGTAATGGCCAAAATTAAACTGATTGATCTTTGTGAAGCACAAAACGTATGACCATTCAGTTCAATGGTCTGAAAAATTTGACTATTACTAACTGACTTGGTAGCACTTAAGTCGATTTGACAACTAATATTCATTATTTTCTCACTTAAAGACATTTTCAAGCCCCATTTTTTAAAGGGAAGTTCTAAGTTAATATTATCTTTCAAATACCGTTGGAATTTAACCTTATCATTTTTTGGGGCCTGCAAATGGGACATAGTACCTTTAATGGGATGTCAGTGAACTTGTATTTACGACGGTTTCCTGAAACGATGCCCTGAGTATCTACAAAGTTTTAGAATCATCATGATAGCCAGAGAGAATTTCTTTAAAATGAAAAATCTTTAACATTGAAAAGCAATTTGTATTATTTCAAAATCTCTCCCTTTCCTCAGACGAAAAACAAAGGCATTAACAACCACCACCACCACCAAAAAAAAAGGTGATATTAATGTGTGAAATAGAGTAATTTATTGACGGAATCACAATTTCCGATCTTCTCTTTAAATGATCATGCACTCCCATTTTGAGGTTGTACGTGGTGCTCCGTGGGTGGCCCATCTTTAAATTCCAGATGAGAAGGAGCAAATTTTAATTGATTTTACTTTATGAAAAAAGAGTTTATTTATGTAGGTATGTAATCTGCTTTGACTTTATAGCTTTACCTGTTTCACACATATTGCCAGTAAAGCCAGCAACACAGGCACAGGTATAGCTGTCCACTCCATCAGTGCATACTCCTCCATTCATACAAAGATTAGGAGTACAATCGTCGATATCTGTGCAAATTGAGTTCCAAAGACATTGAATGGGATGAAAATGACAATAAAAATAATTTCCTCTTTGACAGATTTACCATTTTGGTTCTGCCGATAATAGAAAAATCAAGTAAAAACTGGGATTTTAAACGTGGTTGAATGACAGTTGAGGAATGAATAACTTCTTTCGCAATGGTGAAAATGGACACAGAAATGTCCTGTACATGGTCCGAGTTTCAAGAAACCTTAGTCACAAAATATGAATCGATATGATAAGGAACAGATATGTCTCTCCGATCGTACCTTAAAACAAATCTAAGGAATTGTACAATAAGTCGTCTTGAATGTAAGTGTTATGATTTAAATTGATTGTTGGTAAATGATGTTATCATTAAATATCATGAAACATGTATATAGCGTTAACTTCTTGTGGTGATTGTCATTGTGCAGAAATTATAAGAATGACCTGAATACAGTCAAACCTGTCTATAGATTATATCAAAGTGAAGCACAACAATTAAGTGGCCACTGTAGGCAGGTGTCCTTTCTAGACAGGTTCTTTATATGAACACATCTTTCTATCTAGAGGGAGGCAATGAGGGTAACCAGTAAAGTCGGGTGGCCTTTATAGAGGGGTGGTAGGTGGGCACGGTTGACTTTATGTGTATTATGAACAAGTACGTATCTTTAAAAAAAAAAAAAAAAAAAAAAATCGTTTTCTGGAATGAAAATACTGAGGACAAATCGCAATTTGTGACATACCTGTTTGGCATGTATCTCCTGTATAGCCAGCAGCACAGTTACAAGTGAAGGAGTTCACTTCATCAATGCAAACTCCACCATTCATACAGGGAGTAGTAGAACAATCATCAATATCTGTATGGGTTAAAAAATAGTAATCATATATCAATTAAAATGTGAAGCATAATAAGCCAGTAAACAAAGAATAATATATTCAAAGCCCATACGCATAGTATTGTATACAGCTTGGTTTTTGTAGCAGTTTCACGATGCGTTTGTTCATAAGGACAGGGGCAACTTGAACATTTATCATCAACAATGACATCTATCTTTAAGGAATAGCACAGATTGAAGCAATGCATTGTTAATAGCCTATTAACTGTTTCACAATTTACAAATCTTGCCAGGATTTCATTCCCCTTTAAAACACACAACATAATATGATAGAATAAATTAAAGTTCCTGCATTCTTAGTTTAGTGTTAACAATAACACATTAACATATACAGATTAACCTGTACACCTGTTTAACCTACGAGAAATCATCATTTGTTCAAATGTTTTATATCTTTCATATATTCATAAATATTTACTTCCCTTCTTTAGGGGGGGGGGGGGGTTGGGGTTGGGGTTGGGTACTTACTAGTCTCGCACATAGTGCCAGTAAAACCAGTAACACAACGACATTGTCCATCGCTTATGCATTCTCCGTTATTCTCGCAAACAATGGAGCCACAAACAGCTGCAAAACAAAAGAGAGAAATAAAATATGATATAGATCCTAAAGCACAATTGAGGATTTCATAGTCAATTGGCTACAACACTCAAGGGTGAAAGCATAACACTAATACAAGGACCTGTAGTCTATTGTCCTTTCTCTGTTTAAATTAGAAAATGAACTTACATATCCATATATTTTCAGGAACCCTGATAGCTAACTTTGTTCAAATAAACTTTAAATCAGGAAGATGACACACTAGGCCATACATGTTTGATAAAAAAGGAATTCCGAGAAATTTGCTGATTTTAAAGGAAACTGGAATCTTAAAATCAGGAGTCCGTGAATACATTAATAGTCTTAAATGACAGAACACATATCTATTAACGGAACGTGGAAATGTGCATGCCAATTCACCTGGTATAAAAAGTGATATTTTAGCCACCATCGTAATCTTAGCGACCCATGTTTGAGCTCCATTAATGGATGAAGTCAATAATGTGAACTGCTCCCCGCTCTTGTAAATATTAAGATCATGGTAAAAATGATCCTGGCTTCAATCATCAGGGTCTGGGCTCGGACTACAAAACGCAATGGCTTGGGCCTATTTCTCATATTTATTAAAAAACAACAACTATTCAGATAAAGATTAAAAATGATTTACTTGTTGCGCAGGTATCTCCGTTGAAGCCATCAGCACAGACACAGGTAAAAGTGTTCACTCCATCAGTACAACTTCCACCATTCATACAAGGATTAGGAGAACAATCGTCGATGTCTGATGTGGATGAATGCAAGTTGTGAAAAATATGTCAAGAAATTAGATAAAGGATATTTCTATCTACAAAGTTTTAAAATCATCAAAATGTCAGAAGGATTTTTTTCGAAAATCAAATCTCTAACATTGACAACCAATTTGTATTACCTTTGATTTTCCCTTTTTAACCTGATCAAAAGAAATACTTAAAAGCATTAACAAAGATGTATTGAGCGCCATATAAAAAACCCAGAATATTATTATTATTATTATTGTAAAGTACAACCTCTTTCTCGGAAAAAAGGTAAGCAACAATATTGTTTTAATGAGATCGTTGTTGGAATTTAAATATCGACACTGCTTTTTAAATGAAAGTGCACTCCAACTGTGCCACGTGTCTTCTCGAAATTAAAGAGGAGTGTTGTTTCACTCATTACTGCAATAAAATGTGAAACATCCTCCCATCTTTTGTTTGTACTTTCACAACTTTTGTTCCTGAATGAATAAAAACCTAACAGAATTTTCTTTTACAATCACTAGATGTTACCTTTTTTTAATTTGCTTTGTCTCTTTATTTTTAATTTCCTGATGAAACAAGGAGAGAAAAAAAAATCGTTGAATTTTACTTAACATAACAAATTGTGTGTATGAAGGAATGTAATCTGATTTAAATTTGAAGCTTACCTGTTTCGCACATACTCCCAGTGAAGCCCAGTACGCAGGCACAAGTATAGCTGTTCACCCCATCAGTACAGGCTCCTCCATTCATACATAGATTAGGAGTACAATCATCGATATCTGTGCAAATCGAGTTTCAAAGACAATGAATGGGAAAATTATGACAAGTAAACTAACTGCCATTTTGACCGATTTATCTTTAAATTGGTGGATAACAGGACAATTTAATAAACACTGGTATTTCCAAAGCAAATTAATGGCAGTTCAGAATTGAATTACTTCATTTGCAAAATCATTAATAAATAATCAAACAAAGTAAATGAACTAATTATCTCTTTTAATAATTGTATGTTCAGAAAAAAACGTGCCCATGAAAAGAATTAAAAAAAAACACAACAAATTATTGTCTGACAAACCGTTCCCCTGCCAGAAAAAAACGGTGAGTAAAATAAATGAGCTTTTCTTTGGGGTGAAATGAACGTAAGAAGGAATGCATACACATGTCTTATACATGGTCGGAGTGTCAAGACACCTGAGCCCTAAAATTTGAATAGCTATGATCAGTTAAAAAGACAGTGAAGTGGATAGAAATGATGAGGAATATTTTCTTTTTTGACAGATTTATATATATTTGGGAAATAACAGGAAAATTAGATCATTTTTTTCCTTTCTAATGCAAATTATTGACAGTCAAGGTATTCAATATTTCATTAAAAAAAATATTTAATAAACACGTTTCTTTAAAACAAAATGAAGAAAATGAACCAAATATCTCTTTTGTTGAATCTTTTTCAAAATCGTGGCCTAAGAAAGAAACTATTTGATGGAAAAAACCTGATTGTCTGGCAAACTTGAATTGTCCCTACTAGAAAGAGAGGGTAAGTAAAGCGAGTGATCTTTCATTTGGGGGTAGAATAAATGGTAAAAACAGACGCAGAAATGTCCTATACATTGTCTGAGTTTAAAGATACCTTAGCGCCAAAAGTAGAATCAATATGACCAGGATGAAATATGCCACACTGATCGTACCCTCAAACAAATCTTAATTAACAGTACAATAAGTTGCTGTGAATGTAATTGTACAAATTTGAAATCATAGTTGGAAAATGATGATCATTTAAGATCACAAAACATGTACATAGCATTAACTCTTTGGGGTGATTGCCAATTTAACACGAATACAGGAAAAACAGGTCTATTGATGCCACTCAAAGGGAACACAAAAAATAGACGATGTAGGCAAATATATGTATATATATAAATATATGAACCCATATTTCCATTTGTAGGGAGGCAATACGAGTTACTGGTATAGACAGATGGCCTTTATAGAAGCATGGCTACTTGGGCATGTTTGACTTTACATCTTTGTTTAAAACACCAACTTGAAAATGTTGTATCCATCATGAAACAGGTTAGAATCTTGTCAAAAATCGTGTTCTGGAATGAAAATACTGAGGACAAATCCCAGTTTGTGACATACCTGTTTGGCATGTATCTCCTGTATAGCCAGCAGCACAGTTACACGTGAAGGAGTTCACTTCATCAACGCAAACTCCACTATTCATACAGGGATTTGTAGAACAATCATCAATATCTGTATGGGTTAAAAAATAGTAATCATACATCAGTTAAAATTTGAAGCATAATTAAAGCCAGTAAACAAAGAATAATATTGCTAAATATACTACTCATTGCGGATGTAGTATCGAAAATAATATCGCTAGTGATATTTGTTTGGATGCGGACGATACGCCACCATGACACTCACCGTCCTGCCGGCAAACATCAGTCGATTCCATTCAGCAGACGGGCCGAGCCAGCGGCCCGTTGATTGGTTGAGCACCGTATGCGTCGGCCAATAGGCCTGGTGCATTAGCCGAGCCAGCATCCGAACCAGCAGCCTGGTAATTGGTCGATCACTGTGTGCGTCGACCAATAGGCATTGTGCGTTATTGTTCTAATTATCGATTGTATTATAGACCGCTCCGCCGGCCTCCCGTAAAGTATAAAAGACCCTTGCTTACATTAGTTTTTATCACCTGACGAAGTGTTGCAGATAGCGCACGAAACGTCGTGATCTTTTAGATTCCTTATTGACCACATTGTGAAACAAACGAATATCACTAGCTATATTATTTCCGAAAGAATAATAAATTCAAAGCCCATACGCATAGTATTGGATACAGCTTGTTTTTGTAGCAGTTACACGATGCGTTTGTTCACAAGGACAGGGGCAACTTGAACATTTATAATCAACAATGACATCTATTTTTAAGGAACAACACAGATTTAAGACATACATTGTTAATAGCCTATTAACTGTTTCACAATTTCCAAATCTTGCCAGGGTTTCATTCCCCTTTAAAACACACAACATAATATGATAGAATAAATTAAAGTTCCTGCATTCTTAGTTTAGTATTAACAATAACACATTAACATATACAGATTAACCTGTACACCTGTTTAACCTACGAGAAATCATCATTTGTTCACATGTTTTATATCTTTCATATATTCATAAATATTAACTTCCCATTTTTAGGGGGGGGGGGTTGGGGTTGGGGTTGGGTACTTACTAGTCTCGCACATAGTACCAGTAAAACCAGTAACACAACGACATTGTCCATCGCTTATGCATTCCCCGTTATTCTCGCAAACAGTGGAGCCACAAACAGCTGCAAAACAAAAGAGAGAATAATAAATAATTTACATCCTACAGCACATTAGAGGATTTCATAGTAAATTAGCTACAACATTTAAGGGTGAAGGCATAACACTTTACACGGACCTGTAGTCTATTGTCCGAATGTCAGCTCTCCATTCTCCTTTTAAATTAGAAAATGAACTTAATGCAGAGAAACCTATCCATATTTTTAGGAACCTTAACAGCTAACTTTGTTCAAAGTAACTTTTATATCATGTAGATAACACACTGGGACATACTTGTCTGATGAAAAAGGATTTCCGAGAAATTTGCTGATTTTAAAAGAAACTGAAATCTTAAAATCAGGAGTCCGTGAATAATTGTCTTAAATGACAGAACACTAATATCTTTTAACGAAACATGGAAATGTGCATGACACTTTACCTAGTGTCAAAAGTGATATTTTAGCCACCATCATAATCTTAACGACCCAAGTTTGAGCTCCATTCATAGATAAAGTCAATATATAATGTGAACTGCTCCCCGCTCTTGTAAATATTAAGATCATGGTGAAAAGGAGCCTGGCTTCAATCATCGGGTTCTGGCCTCGGACTACAAAACGAAACGGCTTGGGCCTACTTCTCTTATTTATTAAAAGACCACAACTATTCAGATAAAGACTCAAAATGATTTACTTGTTGCGCAATCATCTCCACTAAAGCCATCAGCACAGACACAGGTAAAAGTGTTAACTCCATCAGTACAACTTCCACCATTCAGGCAAGGATTTGGAGAACAGTCGTCAATGTCTGATTTGGATGAATAAAAGTTGTGAAAATTATGTCCACAAATTAGAATGGGAATATTTCTATCTACAAAGTTTATTAACTCTCTCGATCGTCAGAGGGAATTTTTGAAAATCGAATCTCTAATATTGACAAGCAATTTGTATTACCTTTAAATCTCCCTTTATTACCTGATTAAAAGATATAATTTACAACAGCATCAACAAGGCAAATGATATCAATGTGTCAAATAAAGTAATGGATGGCAAAGTAAAACCCCTTTTCTCTGAAAAAAGGTAACAACAAATGTAAGCAGCATTATTGTTTGAATGAGGTCGTTGTTAAAATTAGATATCTATACTGTTTTTCAATGAAAGTGCACTCCAACTGTGCCATGTGTCTCCTCGAAATTAAAAGGAGTGTTGTTTCACTCATTACTGCAATAAAATGTAAAAATCCCCCCATCTTTTGTCTGTACTTTCACCACTTTTGTCCCTGAATCAATGAAAACCTAATAATTTTCCTTTCCAATTACTAAATGTTTCTTTCTTTTTATCTTGCTTGTTTGTCTCTTTATCTATAACTTCCTGAAGAGCAAGGAGACAAATTTGTATATGTAGTAATGTAATCTGCCTTGAATTTTATCTTACCTGTTTCACACATACTACCACTGAAGCCAGCAACACAGGCACAAGTATAGGCGTTCACTTCATCAGTACAAGATCCTCCATTCTCACAAAGATTGGGAGTACAATCGTCGATATCTGTGCAAATTGAGTTCAAAATTCAGTGAATGGAGAGAAAAAACAAGACAAAAAATGTCTCTTTTCACATATTTAATTTCATTTGGTGGATAACAGGAATATTGTGTAAAGCTAGTATTCTAAATGCAGATTAATGACAGTTCTGGAATGAACTACTTCATTTGTAAATCTAATTATACATAACTCAAATGAAGTAAACAAACTTATTATCTCTTTTAATGTTTGTATATTTTTGAAAAACATGGCCTTTGGAAGAAAATGTTTTGTTGTTGAGTTTTAAGACACCTTCGTGCCAAACGTTGTATTAATATGATCAGGATCAAGGATTCCGCACTGTTCATACCCTAAACAAATCTTAATCAGTGTGGGAATCAAAATATCAATTTGACTCTTTAACTGTTTGACCTCTTAAATGTTTCTTTTTATTTCCCTATTCGCTCTTAAAATTCAATTTCTTGATTAGCAAGGAGCAAGTGCTCTACATAAAAATGTGTACCATATGTATGTAGGTATGTAATCTGTTTGGACTTTATAGTTTACCTGTTTCACACATACTCCCAGTATATCCAGCAAGGCAGGCACAAGTATAGCTGTTCACTTCATCAGTACAAGATCCTCCATTCATACAAGGATCAAGAGTACAACCGTCGATATCTATGCAAATTGAGTTCCGAAGACAATAAATGGGATAAAAGTGACGAGAAAAATGATTTCCCTTGTGACAGATTTTATTTTATTTAGCGGAGAAGAGGACAATTAATGAAATTTTGTACACGGTTTGGTGACATTTCAGGAATGCATTACATTCAGTCGTAAAACTAATTAATATATTAATAAAATGAAGTGAGTGAACCAAATATCTATTTCGTTGTTCAAATCTTCTCCAAAATCTTGGCCTTATAAAGAAAATATTTTCTTTAAAAAATCTGATTGTTTGGCAAACTAGATGTGCTCTTCCCAGAAAATAGGGTAAGTAAAGCAAGTGATCTTTCTTTTGGGAGTGAAATAAATGTTGAAAATGGACACAGAAATTTCCCAATACAGGTTTGAGTTTTAAGACACCTTAGCGCAAAAACTTGAATCGCTATGATTATGATGAAATACACCACTCTAATCGTTTCTTAAAAACAGATATCAATTAGTAAAGAACATTGTGTAAATCATAACATCAACTTTGCTATTCAAATAACCGTGAACTCTCATTTTCCCATGTGCCTGAATGTTTCTTTCTTTTTAATTGCTTGTGTGTCTCTTTTTAATTTCCTGATGAGCTATAAAAAATATTTCATTGGATTTTGCTTAACTTAACACATGGTATATGTATGTAGGTATGTATTAAATCTCCTTTAACTTTAACAATTACCTGTCTCGCACATCAACCCAGTATAGCCAGGAACGCAGGCACAAGTATAGTCGTTCACTTCATCAGTACAAGATCCTCCATTCTCACAAAGATTGGGAGTACAATCGTCGATATCTGTGCAAATTAAATTCCAAAGAAAATCAAGGAAATTAAAGACATTTATCTTGATTTGGTAGATAACAGGAAAAATAAGACAAAAATGGCATATTTAATGCAAATAATGACAGTTTAGGAAAGAATTACGTAATTTTTAAACTATTATTCAAATATTTCTATTGATGTTTGTATCATTTTCCAAAATCGTGGCCTTAGAAAGAAGATATTTTCTAAAATTGTTGATTGTCTAACAAACCTTGATGTGCCCCTGCCAGAAATAAGGGGATTAAAGCCTGCTATCGTTTCTTTAAGGGTGAAATGAATTTGAAAATGGACACAGAAATTTCCTATATGTGTTTCAAGACATCTTTAGCGCCAAAATAAAATTAATATGATTAGGAATTAATACTCCTTTCTTATCATTCCCAAAAACAAATCTAAATGAATAGAGATCGTTGTAGGAATCACAATATCAACCCTGCTCTACAAATAGCCATCCACTCCATTTGACCCATAAGTCTACTCAAAATCAAGATAAGTAACGGTAAAGCTTTTCTCATTACTGCACCAAAATATGGAACACCATTTCCATCTGTAGTCTGTAATATTAGATCTGTAGACTCTGAATTAAAAAAAAACCTCGAAAATTTTCCTCCCCATGACTGAATGGTTCTTTCTTTTTATTTTCTTATTTGCTCTTTATCTTAAATTTCTAGATGAGTAAGGAGCAATATTTCATGACATTTATAAAAAGTATATGTATGTAGGTATGTAATCTGGTTTGACTTTATAAGCTTACCTGTTTCACAACTACTGCCAGTATAGCCAGCAACACAGGCACAAGTATAGTCGTTCACTTCATCAGTACAAGATCCTCCATTCTCACAAGGATTGGGAGTACAATCATCGATATCTGTGCAAATGATAATGGATGGGATAAAAATGAAGAGAAAAATAATTTCAATTTTGACAGATTTTCTTTTTGGAGGATAACAGGAATATTAAGTAAAACAAATTTGTATTTTAAATGCAAATTAAAGACAGTTAAAAAATAAATGTATTTGTAATACATACCGGTAATTCAAATGAATTAATTTTCCTCTTAATGTTTGTATTTTTTTCCTCGAAATTGTGGTCTTAGAAAGTAGATATTTTCAGGAAAATCTGATTGTCTGACAAGCCTTGATATGCCCCTGCTAGGTGTGTAAAACATGTGATCTTTCTTTTGTGGGTGGAATAAATGTGAAAATGGACGCAGAAATGTCCTATACATGGTCTGACTTTCAAGACACAATGGAACTATGATCAGGAAGATATATGTCACTCTTATCGTACCTAACTCTGCTTTTCCCCATCCCCCCAGTTTTCCTATTTCTTAATAACCTAGCATCGTTTAGCCATTCATGAATGAACCTGCATTCAATCAGCAGATGTACAAGATTTATTGTATTATTACCAACGCTCCTTCTCTCCCCTTTTCTTTTCTTCTCTGCAAGTCACTCTTTTCTATTTTTATTTGTTATTGTTGTATTTAAGTTGAGGGCTGCGGGCACGTCAACCTACTTTGCTTATTTATGTAGCCCTCCTGCATCTAATGTATGTTAATTATGCATTCAATATATTTGTTTAAATTCGTTTATTATCTGTATAAAATTATATACACTTAAAATATTGTATCAAATCATATTATGTTCATGAAAATGTATGATGAATAAAAGAAAACAGATGCAGAAACCAAAAAATCAAATCAAATCAAATAAAAAAATCAGGAAAAGTTAAATTTCTCTCGTTGCTGCACCAAAATGTGACAAGATGGATATTCGCCTGCATGCAGTTGAAAATCAGTAAAACATACAAAGAATTTCTCTCTAATGACTGAATGTTTCTTTCTTTTTAATTGCTTGTGTGTTTCTTTATAATTTCCTGATGAGCCATGACAAATATTTCATTGGATGTTGCTTTACATAACCAATGGTATACATATGTAGGTATGTATAAAATGTAACAATTACCTGTCTCGCACATCAACCCAGTATAGCCAGGAACGCAGGCACACGTATAGTCGTTCACTTCATCAGTACAAGTTCCTCCATTCTGACATGGGTCAGCAAGACAATCGTCGATATCTGTGCAAATTAAGTTCCAAAGACAATCAACAAGAAAGAAGAGATGAGAATTTGTTCCTCCTTTTTGTTAGATCAATTCATTTTTGGCCGATAACAGGAGAATTATGTAAAAATGACAGTAAATGAATGATTTACTTCATTTGTAAAATTGATGAACTGATGAATAATTAAAATGAAGTAAATTATTACATTTTACCTCTTACAACTAGTCAAGTAATCCTTACATGCATATACAATCAATTGAGCCAAGCTTTGTTTGAATTGCTTCAAAACTTTCTAGGATGTAGCAGAAACGATATATTCATGGTTGGAGTACTTAAAATGAATGAAAAATCTCAATATTTCTTTCATTATTCTTTAATTCATTATCATTATCATCTTTTCATTTTAACTTTTTTTTTTTTTTTTTTTTTTTGGGGGGGGGGGGGTTACTTACCAGTCTCGCACATAGAACCAGTAAAACCAGTAACACATTCACATTGACCAGAGACACATGCTCCGGCATTCTGACAAACAGCTCCACCACACTCAGCTAAACAGAAAATAAAGTTGTTAAATATCTGGTCAAGTTCACGTGTGTTAAGGATGCTGTAGTCATGTCAATGTTGTCAATGAAGCGTAATGAACACTATGTCAAAATAAAACTGTAATATTTTGCTGCCATGGCTGCCATGGCTGCCATGGCGACTCAGCTACAACCCGGGTAATAACGTGATACTTTGTATCAAGCGCAGTAGAATATAATAGCTGCACTCTTTGAATGGACATATCAAAGGTAATACAAAGTTTTGGGAAATTTAGAAAATTGGCTGGATAGTGATTCTTCACAACTTTGATATATTTGGATGCCCCTGTAGATGTATTATAAGCACTTGAAAATTAATGCCCTAAAACGCTTCTGCTTTCGAGTAAAATTGAATATAACAATTTCAAATAGCGCTTATGTCCATACAATTGAGACCATTAAAATCTCAGAATATGTAGTTGTGAACTTGTGATATATAATTTCCAAACGGAAATAGCCAATCGGTCGATTTTAGTCAAGAAACATTGTGTCATGGCTTAATTAATATCTTTACCTTGAGAGGGAGCTATACAACATAAAGAGTTTGTTATTTACAATTTCATAACTTTAGACTCAATTTCGACCATGACAACGATCACTCAATATTGTTGGATCGCGTATGCTTTCAATATGTTCATTTGAAGCAAATTCATGTCCCCAAACCAAAACTTTGTATTACCTTTAATATCAAGAGAGTTGTTTTATTGGCTAGCTTAAACAGACAGTTGACACAGGTATATATGTATTTCCTACACTTTGTTCCCGCAATCTTTAATTATTATTATTTTTTTAAACAATATATTCAAATTTTTGGTCATATGACTGAATTGTGAATAAAAACAATTGTCTGGAGGCAATACAAGTTGAATCATGTAGCACATAAACACTGGTGCAATTGATGAGGTTTTGGAATCATCAACATGATAAGGAGTTAGGCAAGTCTAGGTAAATTGGCCCATGACCTGTACTCAGGAAAATGCATATGGAACTTCACAAGTATGTAGCATGAAAGTGTGATCCGCAGCCTTTAGCTATTTTTAGGCTTTGTTTGAATATGAGGGCATTAGCATTTGGAAAGCCATTCTTTTCAGGAGAAATTTTTTCGGTGATATTGTTCCACAATAACATAGAACAAATGACAAAGCTCATACATTATTGGATATACATTCTCTTTATATAAGTTTTCAAAGGTAGAAGTTTTAGGTACTTGTACATACCGTCACATGTACTGCCATCCTCACTTATTGTAAAGCCGGTGTGACAGGTGCACATGTAGGACCCATGGGTATTAGTGCAGTCTCCATTACCACAGGGATTAGTAACCGCAGCACACTCATCGACGTCTAGAAAAGAAACAAATATACATTACAAACGAAGATAAATGTAACTGCATCTCCTAAATCCCCTAAATTCAGTTTACGAAATGGATGGATTTATTCATGACATATCACACTGAAAACAAAAAGCCTATCTATTGTGGTTCTTGAGATATCACAATAGCAAGGCAAAAAAAACCTGTATATTAAAAAATATACCTCTGTGAACTTTGACGTAGCTACTCCAAAATCTATTTATATAGTTTTCTATGGTGATACTTTATCTTCAAGTTTGAAGTTCATATCTGAAGTGGAGCTTGATAAATCGCTTTAATGACAAAGCGGGGCAGACGTAGGGATGGGCAGACCTTAATCTTACAATTACAGGCAGTACTGTAAACAATCTATTATATATGTAAGAACTGATGCCCTAGTTCATGCTTCTGGTGAAAATCTTACCATCACAGGCAGTACCACTATCGTTGGCCTCAAACCCACTGTCACAGGTACACTCATAAGTCCCGTTAAGATTGTTGCAGGTTCCATTCCCACATGGGTTTGGAATGTTTGCACATTCATCGATATCTAAATATGGGAAAGAAAACAGAAGAATAGAAGTAATCCATTGATCATTTTATTTCATCATAGTAATATTGGTCTCAATAGTAAAACAAAAGGCCTTGAATACTTACGTGTTGTAATTAGACAACTTAAAGTGAAATTCATGGAAAGCAAATTTGGCCTAGTTTCAAAATGTATGCAGCACCTCAAATATAAAAGTCTTAAGAAGGCTGAATACAGTCTTCAGTCAGCAGTTGCATGGTATTCAATGATTTTCTCAAGGGGGGGGGGGGGTCAAAATGAACCCTCATAATTAGAGGAAGTATCAACAACTAGATAGTAAAACATTTTTAGTCACTTGGAATATGGCATGAAAAATATTTAAAGTGTACACTACATGAATCCGAACTATCATAATTTATAGGTGAAATGGAAAGAGGAAGGAAAGGAAGGAGTGATCGAGATTGAGAAAGTTGTAAGCAGATCACAGAAATTAATGAGTGTAGTTTCAACAAGAATTTTCGGTATTCTTCTGTAGAGTCATTCTGAAGGAGAGTTCTAAACCATGGTATTATTTCATGAAAAAGAGTGTGGCTCTCTAATTGAAAATCATATAGAGAAATATCAGCATACCCATACAAGCCTCTCCATTGATACTCTTCTCATATCCGCCGTCACAGTCACAAGTAAACGTCCCAATGGTATTGTTGCATGCTCCATTAACACACAGGGAGGGATCATCATCACACTCGTTAAAGTCTAACCAGGGAAACATTTGAGAAGAGCATGTCATAATTAGCCTTTTTAGTATTCTGATCATAAGAGATGGAATATATATTCAGTTACTATTTAGTCTGCATAGTTCATATTCTTAACGTGATTAAGATCAAAGTTGAATAATTAATTCAAGTAAAATAATATTAATGGGAATGATTTAAGTAGAATGATAATGTTAATTCAAATAAAAAACAAATAATATTAATTAAAGTAAAGATGTAGTACATGAACATAGATTGACTTGGAAAAAAGTCCCTTTCACAAGCAGATCAGAACATGTAAATGATCTATGATATATGTAAAAACCGATGCCCTAGTTTATGCTTGTGGTGAAAATCTGACCATTACATGCAGTACTGTAAACGGTCTATGATATATGTAAAAACCGATGCCCTAGTTTATGCTTCTGGTAAAAATCTGACCATTACATGCAGTACTGTAAACGGTCTATGATATATGTAAGAACCGATGCCCTTGTTTATGCTTCTGGTGGAAATCTGACCATTACATGCAGTACTGTAAACGGTCTATGATATATGTAAGAACCGATGCCCTAGTTTATGCTTCTGGTGGAAATCTGACCATTACATGCAGTACTGTAAACGGTCTATGATATATGTAAGAACCGATGCCCTTGTTTATGCTTCTGGTGGAAATCTGACCATTACATGCAGTACTGTAAATGATCTATGATATATGTAAGAACTAATGCCCTAGTTCATGCTTCTGGTGAAAATCTTACCATCACAGGCAGTACCACTATCGTTGGCCTCAAACCCACTGTCACAGGTACACTCATAAGTCCCATCAGTATTGTTACAGGTTCCATTCCCACATGGGTTTGGAATGTTTGCACATTCATCGATATCTAAATATGGGAAAGAAAACAGAAGAATAGAAGTAATCCATTGATTATTTTTTTCATCATAGTAATGTTGGTCTCAATAGTAAAACAAAAGGCCTTGAATACTTTCGTGTTGTAATTAGACAACTTAAAGTGAAATTCATGGAAAGCAAATTTGGCCTAGTTTCAAAATGTATGCAGCACCTCAAATATAAAAGTCTTAAGCAGGCTGAATACAGTCTTCAGCATTTGCATGGTATTTAATGGTTTTCTTAAGGGGGGGGGGGGTCAAAATGAACCCTCATAATTAGGGGAAGTATCAACAACTAGATACTATTTAGTCACTTGGAATATCATATGAAAAATACTTAAAGTATACAGTACATGCATCTGAACTATCATAATATAATTTATAGGAGAAATTGATAGAGGAAAGGAAAGGAAGGAGTGATCGAGATTGAAAAAGTTGGGAGCAGATCACAGAAATTAATGAGTGTAGTTTTGACAAGAATTTTTGGTATTCTTCTGTAGAGTCATTCTGAAGGAGAGTTATAAACCATGGAATTATTTCATGAAAAAGAGTGTGGCTGTCTAATTGAAAATCATATACAGAAATATCAGCATACCATTACAAGCTTTTCCGTTGATATTCCTCTCATATCCATCGTCACAGTCACAACTAAACGTCCCCATGATATTGTTGCATGTTCCATTGACGCACAGGGAGGGATCGACTTCACACTCATCAAGGTCTAACCAGGGAAACATTTGAGAAGAGCATGTCATAATGAGCCTTTTTAGTATTATGATCATAAGAGATGGAATATATATTCAGTTACTTTTTAGTCTGCATACTTCGTATTCCTAACGTGATTAAAAGATCAAAGTTAAATAATGAATTCAAGTAGAATGATATTAATGAAAAGTAGAACGATGAAATTAATTCAAATAAAAAACTAATAATAGTAATTCAGGTAAAGATGTAGTACGTGAAAATAGATTGACTTGGGAAAAATCTTTTTCACAAGCAGAACATAGGTTCGACAGTTGAACTGTTCGATTGATATTCTTACTTTCTAAATTTCATGAGAGCCATTTGGTGGCAGCTCGGCTAAACTTAAGTAGACAATAATTCAGCCTTTTGAACCTGTTCCCTTAAAAAAATTCCTCTATACAAGGTGCCCTGAACAAATGCTACAGCTGACATCTGTAATTTCAATCAGATTTGTGGACGAAATGACGGCATTTATAACATTTTATTTTCTTTTATTGGGAAGGAAAGTTTCTTCAAGATCATTAGTCTTTTATTTCTGTAAGGAATTTTGATTCTGGGGCTATATTTGTGAGGCAATACAATTCTCAAAGTTTGCTGCTTTTGCAAGAACTTCGCTAGATGCAGAGAGAAAATTATGTCTGACGGCTTTCCATAGAATCACAATGTTGCGTATTGAATGATCCCATTTCATTAATGTTGCCTTCATTTACAAAGCAAGAGCAGACATGCTTTTGTCAACAAAGCTGATTTTATGGCAAGCGGTCATGTGCAAATTTCTCGTTCCTCCTTTTTGCAAAATAAGCCAGTTTTGAAAAGGAAATTGCATCACTAAAAAGCCCTAGAATCCAAATACCTAACCCCAAACTTATGATCTTGTATTGACGTAAATAATCATATATGATTGATACACGTTTGTAAAAACTCAATACACACACACACATTATGATCTTGTATTGACTTTACATGGATAAAACAGTTGCCTATACAATACAGACAAACAAAACAAAACAAGACATTTTCTCAATGATGTCGTTGAAGTTAAAGATCTCAGCTTCTGTGTTCTTTTAGGGCCACGCACCCTCTTCATGTATTTTCATTATTCCATTAAAAATACAATTCAAACTGATTAAATGCAAATATATACACACAGAGAAATACATAGAAATTTACAAATTTATTAGGAAGTTACAAGTATAACAGAAGAAAGGAGAAGGAAAGATTATGCAACATAATATACAAACAAAAATGAATTGAGAGGTTTTCATGGTGGCACAAAGAACCTTGAGGGTTTTCTTTAGGCACCAATTCTGCAGGCTGTTACAAAAAGGTCGCATTGATGGTATAAATCAAAGATAAGAGTTCAGAATACAGATACTGAAATTGAATGAGAGAATTCAAAAGAAAAGGGGGCCAAAATGATTGAGTTTTGTTAAAAAATTGATATATTTTTAATGAGAAAAAAAAGGGAGAATTTATTCTTACCCTGACATTGAGTCCCTGTTGAATCTACTACAAATCCAGGAATGCATGAGCACATGTATGATCCCTCGTTATTTTGGCATATTCCATTAGCACAGAGATTCCCAGCATCGCACTCATTAATGTCTATATAGGAGACAATGGTATCGGTTAGAAGATGAAACCTTTCAACATTTTGATATACTTTATCAAATTTGTACACTAAACAATAAATTACATGTAAGAAATGTGTCTTCACATGAAATACATTTACAAAGGAATTAATGTTTTGAGTTCTTACAGTATAGGTTAAAATATTTATTATGTCTTAAGAGGCGATGAAGCAGATTTTAATTACTGATAGTACTTAGTAGGGGATGTGTAAAGCTGTGGACTGATTACAGGGGAATTCAACCTGCTCACAAGCATAGCTTCTACAGGGGTCCTGAAACCATTCCTTTTATGATGTAATCAAATTAATATACATGTATGTTGATTAATGTACTATTACCAGTCTCTTTTTTATGTAAAAGATGATTTGAATAAAATGAACTTGAACTTGAGCAAAAATCAGAAAAACATACCATTACAATTGATACCAGTGCCATCTAGTTGGAACCCTACGTCACAGTTGCAAGTATAAGAACCGGCGGTGTTAACGCACGTTCCATTAGCACAGAGGGTGGAATCATCTTCGCATTCATCAATTTCTGGCGGTAAAAGGAATCAACAAATCCATACAGTATAACACTACCAAATAGCAATTATGCAACAAGGACAATTAACCCCTTTGACATTACTCCCTGGACAATTATCTACTGAAACTGCCCCCAGCAGGACAATAACCCACTAAAAATGCTCCTACCAGGAACATTACCCACTACAACTGCCCCGACTAGGACAATTACCCCCTGCAACTGCCCCAGTACAATTACCCCCGGGACAATTACCCCCCTGGACAATTAACCATTGAATTTCCCCCCACCAGGACCATTACCCACTGCAACGGCTCCCATTTTGCTTATTTGGGTTTAATATCTTCTGGAATTGACTTGTGGAAAAATGACAACCAACAAAATAATGTCAACAGCGCACTTTTTCAAGTTGTTTACGACGCCAGATTACAATTTTTTAAACAAAATGTACGGGTCTCAAAGCTCCGCCATTGTAGTAGATGCATATTAATCTTGATTTTGCAGCTGGCTAGTGTGAATTTCAACTCAAATTATGGTATGACATTGTTTATACACAAACACAAATACAAATCTTAATTGTCAGGGCTCACAAGGCATCAAGCTTTGCTTATCTTGGAGCCCTGGAAATTTCTGTTTAAAATAAGTTCATGTTTCTTCATGTATGTTTTTAATGTATACTGATTTTATTTTGTGTTAAGAACTGAAAGAAAAAAAATGAAATAAAATGAAAAAACATTAGGGCAAACTGAAATGATATTTTCAATGCTCACTAACCTCTGAAGTCTCATACATTGAACATGTCACATTGCTTGTATTTACAGGGTGCGTGGCTTATGAACCCCTCGCCATGCTATAAGGCCAATTCCAACTAAAAACTTCACTTTCCAAAAATAATTAAATCAGTGCTACCATTAAAAATATAGTATCAAAGAATAAATAGCTCAACAAGCTCTTTAATTAGAGTGGTACAGTAAAACCTGCTTTAGTGGATACCTTTCTATGGAGTCCACTTGTCTGAAGTGGGAACTTATAAGGCCTCTCTATAAGCAGAAATATATTACATGTTTGGTATGTGTTACAGAAACTGTGTAGAAAGGACACCTGTCTACAGTGGCCAATTTTCCTTAGATGGCCTTTATAAGCATGTATCAATGATTATCAGTACAAAAGGTATATGTTTAGGCATTTTATTCTACATACAAAATCTCCCCTTTACATACCAATACAAGCAGTTCTTGCTCCGTTTTCAGTATATCCGTCATTGCAAGTACAGAAGAAAGACCCAATGGTGTTAGTGCATGTTCCGTTGTTACACAGGTCTGCATCATCGGCACATTCGTCAACATCTGCAGTAAATAACAATTTACAACGTGTTATCATATTCTGGTGTAACTCATTGCAGTTTATAGTATTCCAAAATAAATCCCTCTTTCCTCCATACAGCATTGTGACGTGAATTGTGTATACCGGTAACTGCTATGTTAATTACATAACGATGTCAATTGATGTTGCTTTCATAGAAATTGTAAGTCTGTGTGTACAGTTCAATCCGAATTGGATGTTCCAACAAGTAATCTCCCTCCCCTCCCCATGCACTTCTCTAGGAGAGTTAGGGCAGTTTATGATGATGGCTTTTCCTTATGGGGTGGTTGTGGAAAGTGCTTAGCATTACACAAGAATCGTTGATCGTAAAAGTGGAGACAACTCCTGGTGATTAATACCATCTAATATCTGGAAACTACCCAAATGGTGTCAATTTCCAAGGGAAACTCGTGCTCATGTGTCGTTATGCCGTCCTTACCCTCTTGGTTGACTATATTTTCGGCTCCTAAAACTCCAAAGCGCTGGTTACTTGGTAGAGCACTGTTGAACAACGATTCCAATACTGTGTCGTTGATATTTAGTGTTGTTTCAACATCTGTCCTGAAGTCTACGACAGCATAGGGACTGGTCACATTCACATCTGATATTGTAGCCATGAATACAGAGTCCCCAAGTTCTGAAATGCCTCGGAGGAACAGCAGCATCTAAAGATAAAATGACACACATTCACATGAAATTCCATATTCTTCAAGAGTCAACAACTTTTTTTTCAGGGGTAGGAGGGGGGGGGGGGGGGGGGGGGGTGGGAGACCTTCATTTTCATGTGAAAAATTCAGATGTATTTTCATCAACATCACTACCAATACCTATAAAGCCCATAGTCTCCTCTGTAACATGACACCAGTATTACCATTATAATTTTATTTTAGGAGCATGATTTCTTTGGGATAAGCTGAGTTAATCTTTACGAAGTTTTCAATTTAATTTTTTTACTCAGCCTCCTGTTAAAGACATCTTGGGAGTTTTCTTCCCTGACTTGAGCAGGAAGGCAATTAAGTGTAAATGTAGGTGTAACAAATAATCTCTTTCCTCTCTAGAGATGTAGTTGAATTTTGTTTCTTGTGTCATGTATGCACACAAGGGACACAGTGTGAGTCAAAACAAAAGTTTACACCTAGCAAATTATTAATTATTTTAAAATCATTTATGAAAAGTAAATCATTATAAACCTTATGAAAGAGTGTTTTATCCCAAATGATTTGGTATCATTTTTGTGTGGCATGTGGTCACGCTTGGATGAACAGAACAGGATTTCCCAAACAAATGGTACATACACAAATTAAGTCTATTTACAGAGACTAAACCAGAAAGTGAGTACCTCATATCGATTTTTTTTTTGAACGCTGTAAATTAAAAAGATTGGACAAAAATATAAGAGGGGAATATGGTCAAAGCTATGAAAGTTATTTTACAGAAATTTGCATCACCTGGACACACTTTCATGACCTGTATACATTTGCAACACCTTTATGTCTTGGCAACAGCTATAGCAGCAACAACGACATCAAACCCCGGCTCCTCCACTCAGTGTTATTTAGGGTACGCATATGCATGTTCCCTCCGTTTGAAAACACCCCTTAAGTCTGGTGTGTAAAGTCTTTTTTGTGTATGTATGAGCCGGACTTTATCAGACATTTTGGTAACACGCATGGTATCCCTCCGTTCACGGAGTGGGGGGGGGGGGCGGGCATCAAACAATCATTTTCTTGATACTTCTAATCTGCTGGCCTATGGAATGCCTGGTAAAGTTCTTTTGATGTTGATTTCATGCATTTATCTTATAGTTTTAGGTGATTCCATGGTAATAATAATAATAATAATAATAGGCATTTCTATAGCTCCGTCTATCTAGATAATTCTAGTACGAGGCGCATTTATTATTACCCCGGCTTTAGCCTAGCTGCCGTTTATACAGCGCTCCAGCATTTCAAGGGATTAATTCCTGCCAGGTACTCATTTACATCACCTGGGTTGAGTGTGGCAAATGTAGATCAATGTCTTGCCAAAGGACATTAGTGCCGCGGCGGGACTCGAACTGCGGACCTTGCGATCGACAGTCTGGTGACGTATCCACTCGACCACGACACCTCTACACCTAAGTAAAAACTGTAAGTGGAATATACTGTTTAATACTGGGTTGACGTGAGTTCATATGGAGCTGTTTACTCACATCAAGTTCAAGTTGCTCTCGATTTTCAGCAGGTTCGATGATAGAGGGATTGACTGCAATAAAACCACCGACGATGGCTTCAAATCTTACCCTCAGGTTCAAGGTTAAGGACTCTAAAATATAATCAAAAAACAAAACAATTTGTATTCATTTTCTAGTAATTTTTATTTAATTACTTCAAGGGGAGGTCCACCAGTATCATGTCAGTTTAAAGATGAAGTTGAGTTCTGGTCATGGGATTGCATTGTGAAAGAAACGGTGTGGAACCGACCAGAAAAGGTTGATCATCTAGCATATAAGAATTTGTGTGTATGGCAATGTTCTGGAATCATCAAAATGATAAGAAATGTGGCCAAGTCTTGGTAAAGTTACACAGAAAGATGTATATTGAACTACACGAACACGTGGCATAAAAAGCCGCCCCCCCGATTTTTACGATGTCACATGCATATTTAGAATATGAAGGCATTTGAAGAGCCATGCTTTTCAGGGAACATGTCTGAACTGATGTTCTTCCACACTTGTATAATAAGAATGAGTAATGCTCACAAATTATTTTTCACCTCTTCCCAGAACTCAACCTTCTCTTTAAAGAGGAAATGAAAGGAACAGCTAGCTTTACAGTGACATTATATGTGATTAACTTGTTCATCCCGATTAGCTTGTTTTCTTGGTTGTTGATGAAGAAATAATAATACTAATAATGGTAATAATCACATTAACAATAATAATAGTAAAACAATAAATTTATGACGCACTTATTTTTTCATTTCATTTTGCTCAAGTTTACCCTGATCTTTCTATAAAAAATATCTGCTTGTATTCCAACCAATAATATTACAGTGGACTTCCCCCTGTAAGGTCTTTGTGCAATATCACAGATTTTTGTTTCAAAGCATCTTTTTTTTTCACTGATATTAATGACTAGTATTATTGGTAATTTATGCACCCATTTGATCTATTCTGATTGTAATAAAATCTGCAATTCGGCCATTTAGCTACGAAAGATTGTTTTAATCAATAAACCATTTCAAATAGATTAATCAAACAACATGCATGTGTTGAAAGGATGGAGAGTTTGGGAAATCTAAACATATGGAGTAAACATTTTCATTAAAAAAGGACAAATGATGCTTTTGTTTTCAAAATATCATGAACACGACATTATATTAAAGCCCCAAAGTCACAACTTGCAAGGAGGCGAGATGGCCCAGGGGTAGAGCACAGGTTTTGAACGGGAAGGACTTGGATTCAAAACCAAGTTGCTGGTACCTTTGGTAAGGCCTTAATCCTCATTACAAATTCCCTGAGAGAGGACTAAAAGCCGTCGGTCCCCTGGTTGCTTACTTACAAGCTTTAAATACGCATGTTTTCTTAGCAGCCAGGTAAAATAAACCATCAACCCAAGCCACTCTCCCTTTAGAATATTTATTCATATTTGCTGATGAGATTACGTTACCTTGACAGGTTCCATCAATTTCAGTGGTGCCCTCAGTGCAGATACAACTGTAGTTTCCCACAATGTTGATGCATTCTCGATTGGCGGCACAGACAGAATCAACTTCTTCGCACTCGTTTGTGTCTAGATGGGGAAGCGGGTAATAAAAATAATGGATCAAGCTCGCTATCCATAAGGACCGTTATTCATAAGGACCGCAAACCATAACGTGTGACAAAATGAATAGCAGACCCTTATAAATAGCAAGCAAACCATAGGCAAGGACCGCCATTCCTAATACCAATAATATAAATGATATATGTGGTTTGCGTATAGCTTAATACCCCGACGATGATTCTAAGCCCTGTACAGATATTTAAACATATATTTGCAGTATATGTAGGGCTATACAATTTTTTAGTATCTTACACTCCAAGACCGGACATTGAAATAATTGCTGGTATCAAGATTTTACAAAAAGACAGACAATGCTTTACCTGTTGCCTCTGAAGAGAGTTTAAATAACTGTTCCCTTAAAGCAATGGGATAATTAAAAACACCTATAATTATCTTGTTATGTGTACATAAGTTGTAGAGACTTTATTTACCTTGTCTAATGATAGCAGCAGTTCCTAATAAAGGTATATTTAATTTCATGATAGAAAATTATTGTAAAGTGTAAATGAGTTTTTTGGTAGTCCTTTACGTTTCTTTTCCTCACTCATGTAAGCATTGCTTAATGGTAAAATGAGAAAAGATCCTAAACAAATTTGATTTTATCTCAAACAATGTATATACATGTACATCTAGTGCTATATAATAACTCTTTGATGTTAGAATGCTCGATTCATATTCTAGCACCAGCAGTGATACAGATTGGCGACCATAATTATACTGGACATGTACATGCAGTATGCTTAACTGAAAATGCTTTTAAATAACTGCCAAATTAATAATTTTGTTGACATACTTATAACATCACAAAACTTAATAGGATGATTAATTTACTTGTTAACTGTACATGTACATGTAGTCTCTTTGTCACATGTACGTGTATTTGCACCTTCTCGTTTATACGGTACATCATCATTGACCAAGGTCAGTATTTTCCCTCTTACAAGGGGATACTTAATTTCGCGCCATGATGATGCTCTCTCCCTCCACTTATTCTAATTTTCCCGAGCGTCCTCCTTATTTACAATGGTAATACAAAAACATAATAATTCCATATCATTTACCGATGCAGGTCTTGGGTGTATCATTCTCGTACCCAGAAGCACATGTACACACAAAATCACCACCTGTGTTCTCGCATGAAGAGATGTCTGGAGGACAGGTGTTTTGAACGTTGTCACATTCATTAAAATCTGTCGGGAATAATGATATTAATAACAATAATAACAAATTGATTTTACAGCAAACAATAGAGAGTCTCTCTATAGATTTCTCCGATCAAGTTCAAACTACTTATATTTTTCTTTGTCAGAATCATCCATTTATTTTGTGGTTTTCCTGTTTTCAATTGTATTTCAAGAATGATCTGTAGTTTTACTACTAGAGATTATCTATGCCCTTTAAGAGAAATAATGACAAAAAAAAGAATACTTAAACTAAAAATGCTTGAGAGAGAAGTGACAAAAAGATAAGATTACGACAAAAAAAATTAATCTTGTCACAAAACCTAGAATTCAGCTGTTAGGAGCCAGACTGGTATTTATAGCTTTAACATAAACATGTCTTCAAACAAATTGATAGATGTATGATCCTTAACTTTTCTCTTCTTCTGACCATTTCAAAGGGCCCATTTGATCATATTTTGTTCTTCAAATGGGCAACACTGATTTTGTTTTATTGCTACAAGGTTCTAATCAAACGTAATGTTTCGGGAAACGATATACATAGGTAGGAAAGTTGTCAAAAAGTAGGGAAATTTGTGAAAAACAGATTTTAATTCATGTGTATTCATGTGAATTCCATACTTAATGTATGATTCATATGTTATGTTTTTTATTCACCACCTGTATAAAGATACCATACCTGTACAATTGCTATCCATATTCTCTCTCACGTAACCTTCATAGCACATGCATTCATAAGAGCCCTCCAGATTAGTGCAGTTACTGTTTGGTCCACAGAATTGAAGGACATCACTGCATTCATCTTGATCTACATATCCATAGACATACATTGGATCGGAAATGAAAGGATACAATATCAATTACAGATTATTTGTGCACGAACATTAGATGTAAAAAGCTTGTTAGTCTAAGTTTTGAAAAAATTATTTATCAACATGTCTTTATGTACAACTACATGTTTGTAAAGGGATTAAAGTCATTGAGCTATTATCATAATAATCATTTCTATTTATATTACTATTAATCTTATTTCATGTATTATCATTTCCATTAATATCATTATTATTATTATTATCATCATTATTATTATTTTTATTATTATCATTAGCATCATTATTACTCTTATTATAATTATATTATATTATTGTAGAGGTGTCGTGGTCGAGTGGATATGTCAGCGGACTGTGGATCACAAGGTCCGCGGTTCAAGTCCCAACGCGGCACTAATGTCCTTTGGCAAGACATTGATCTACATTTGCCACTCTCCACCCAGGTGTTAAATGGGTACCCGGTAGAATGCAAAAGCTAATGTGGTTCGATTAGCATTGGCGCTTGTAAAATGGCGACTGGCTGGAATGCTCCCCAAGGAGTGGAGAATGTGCATACCTTGGGTGCGGGTAAGCATGAATCCGATGACCTGGGTAATAATATATATCTGTAAAGCGCATTGAGAGGGCCTGCGGTCCTGAAATGTGCTATATAAGGACGAACTTAACTATTATTATTATTATTATTATTATTATTATTATTATTATTATCATTATCCTTCTTTTTATCATTATTGTCATTAATATAATCTTTACGATACATACCTGAGCAGGACATTCCATCTCCCTCGTAACCATTGTTGCATTCACATGAATAGTTTGCTGGAGCGTTCACACAAGACGCTAGTGGATGGCAAGTGAACAAGGATGGGTTCTGACACTCATTGATATCGGTACATGCCGCGTAGGGATCACCTTGGAAACCAGGCATACAGGAACATGTGAATGCACCTTCATTGTCTAAACAGTCAGCATACACACCACACGGGTCTCCATCACACTCGTCGATATCTACATTAAATGACAATATAAACATCATACAGTGAGACCTGTCTACAAAGAATACTCAAGAAAAGCAGCCTTTACATGTACAACTACTCTTTTTTTTGTTTATGTTTAATTGAGAAACTGTATTGAAGAGAACCATAAAATGTGGTCTATAATAATAATAATTTGTAATTTAATTGTATCTCGTGCATAACAATTACAATTCAATTCTCTAGGCGTTTTACATTATAAATATTGGATAAAATAAACATAATGCAGAAAGATATAATAACTGCAAGCGAAGATAGGTCTAAAGGGATTTCCTTCAAGTTTTGATAGAAAATACTTTTTCCCTAATTGTTACGAGTGGAGACTTCAACAGAGCAGGAGCTGATGTCACGATGGATTGGTTTTCTGTATATGTCCTTTCTATTCAGGTGGTCACTATGACAAGTAGGTTTCACTGTTATTAAGCCTATGTTGATGTAATAAACACACACACATATATATATATACATGTATACATGCTCTGTTCATCAAATAGAGCTGTCTATTAGTTTGTGCGTACTTCTTGAAGTAAGGTTTCCCCTGACAACTCAAATACTTGCCAAAGGTTTGCCAGACATGGCAACAAATAATGTATGTGTATTGGATTCCATCTACAGTATAGCCGTGAATAGCACGTGAATTTAAAAGTTATTAACCAGGGGTTCTGCAAAAAAGTTATATTCATTATCAAACAAGTCTATTGCCGACAGACAGGCATTATTGACAGCAATAAAGGGGAGATTAAAAAGGGTATAAACACAATATAAACAGTATTATGATTAATTGATAAATCAAGTGTAAGGTTACTTTAATATTTATAATAAGACTTTATGACATGATTTGAATACACAAAATAATTCTATTCATAAATGTTACATTCATATTTCATCCTCAGCACATACCGATGAAAAGTGCAGAATAAAAATGTCAATAGATTTGACACGGTATATCATATGTAACAATTATTACAACTAAAAGTTGCATACAGATGTTAAATATTAATGATAAAGAACAGAATGTGTACAAGATTATACAACAGTAAAATAATAAAATAGTCACCTTGACTTTGTATTGATATAGACATCTTTGTCTAAACATATGCGACTACAAAGAGATTGAGAGCAGTTATAGGAGAGTAAACTGTTCTTGTGTGTTTAGTCCTATTGAGGACCACTTGAAATTGAGAGCAGTTATAGGAGAGTAAACTGTTCTGTGTGTTAAGTCCTATTGAGGACCACTTGAAATTGAGAGCAGTTATAGGAGAGTAAACTGTTCTGTTGTGTTAAGTCCTATTGCGGACCACTTGAAATTGAGAGCAGTTATAGGAGAGTAAACTGTTCTGTTGTGTTAAGTCCTATTGCGGACCACTTGAAATTGAGAGCAGTTATAGGAGAGTAAACTGTTCTGTTGTGTTAAGTCCTATTGCGGACCACTTGAAATTGAGAGCAGTTATAGGAGAGTAAACTGTTCTGTTGTGTTAAGTCCTATTGCGGACCACTTGAAATTGAGAGCAGTTATAGGAGAGTAAACTGTTCTGTGTGTTTAGTCCTATTGAGGACCACTTGAAATTGAGAGCAGTTATAGGAGAGTAAACTGTTCTGTTGTGTTAAGTCCTATTGAGGACCACTTGAAATTGAGAGCAGTTATAGGAGAGTAAACTGTTCTGTGTGTTAAGTCCTATTGAGGACCACTTGAAATTGAGAGCAGTTATAGGAGAGTAAACTGTTCTGTTGTGTTAAGTCCTATTGAGGACCACTTGAAATTGAGAGCAGTTATAGGAGAGTAAACTGTTCTTGTGTGTTAAGTCCTATTGAGGACCACTTGAAATTGAGAGCAGTTATAGGAGAGTAAACTGTTCTGTTGTGTTAAGTCCTATTGCGGACCACTTGAAATTGAGAGCAGTTATAGGAGAGTAAACTGTTCTGTTGTGTTAAGTCCTATTGAGGACCACTTGAAATTGAGAGCAGTTATAGGAGAGTAAACTGTTCTGTTGTGTTAAGTCCTATTGAGGACCACTTGAAATTGAGAGCAGTTATAGGAGAGTAAACTGTTCTGTTGTGTTAAGTCCTATTGCGGACCACTTGAAATTGAGAGCAGTTATAGGAGAGTAAACTGTTCTTGTGTGTTTAGTCCTATTGAGGACCACTTGAAATTGAGAGCAGTTATAGGAGAGTAAACTGTTCTGTTGTGTTAAGTCCTATTGAGGACCACTTGAGATTGAGAGCAGTTATAGGAGAGTAAACTGTTCTGTTGTGTTAAGTCCTATTGAGGACCACTTGAGATTGAGAGCAGTTATAGGAGAGTAAACTGTTCTGTTGTGTTAAGTCCTATTGCGGACCACTTGAAATTGAGAGCAGTTATAGGAGAGTAAACTGTTCTGTTGTGTTAAGTCCTATTGAGGACCACTTGAAATTGTTGAGAGGTAAGTAAAGGGAAAGAATTTGTGAGGTAAAAAGAAAGAGGGTTATTCTTTGGTGAATAAATGCCTGAAAAAGGCTGGTGAACCTAGGAATGAATCCGGAGAGGGGGAAAGAGAGAGATATTTGTTCTTAAATATTGTATCTACTTACTTGAGCAATTTAGACCATTCCCAGTATAACCTTCAAGGCAGGTACATGAGTAAGACCCATCTGTGTTGTTGCATGCAGCATTCACATCACAAGGAGATGAATCACACTCATTATCATCTTTTAAAGAAAGTGAACGTTTGGATGAATTAATTCTCATAGCATGTACAGACTACAGGAAAAATAAACGAAACTTGCATAAAGAATTTTTTTATAACATATTATTATATAGTGAAAGGAGCGACATACTACTTGTACACAACATCATCGTATAAAGAAGTTAATTTCAACAAAGTCATTTTAAATGACAGCTGTCTAATCACTAGAGCATTTTTTTGCGTACATTCTGTTGAATTTTTCTTTTTATTTCTCTCATATATTACTCATTTCTCGCACATTGTAAATGTCTTTGTATTTGTATGTATTTGCATTTATTGTATTTAAAATGTGTGCAGTTATTTAAGGAATTAGAAAATAAATGCAATGTCGTACCTACACAGCTGAAGCCATTACCAGAGAAACCTGGCATACACATACAATTGAAAGAGCCATTTGTATCCATGCAATTCGCGAAGACGTGGCATGGGGACGTAGAAAGGCACTCATCGATATCTATATGAGGAGTACACACAACATAACAAATGAACAAAGAGTGAGATGTGGAAGTGGGTACTCTCAGAGTTTTCATATTGGAGTGGGTGTTCGTCAGGGATCAGTCTTATCTCCACTACTGCTCACTACTGTGGTAGATTTTTTAAAATTGGAATCAGTTAAGAAAGATGTGTTATGGAAACGTTATATGCAGATGATTAAGCGTTGATGGCTGAATCAATGCAACAGCTGGAGAGGGATTTCACCATCTGGAAGAATGGATTTGAGTGCATGGGCCTGAAAGTCAACTTGGGAAAGACAAAGGGGATGGAAGCAAGTGGTGGGGCAACATTGATGGAAGAAAGCAAAATGGGTCCTTGTGGTATCTGTGGCAAGAGATTAATGAAGAACTCTTATCAGATGCACAGGAAAGTTGGTTCATGCGAGATGTGCTGGAGAAAAGAAAATTACCAACAGAATGGCTGAGAGTTGTGAGTGCAAAAATGCAGAGGGATTGGTAATGTAGTGGTGGATTGGCAAGTAGGGATGTACTTGGGAGATGCTGAGAGGGTTGATAAGTTAGTTATTTGGGGAATATAATCAACAGCGGTGGTTAACATTAGATTGCATTGACAAGAAGATTCAGATTGGGGTGGATAAAGTTTAATGAGCCGGCCTCGATCCTATCAGGTAGAAGGTTTACTATGAGAATAAAAGGCAAGATCTATATTAGGCTTGTTGTTTAATTCAGAAGATAGTTTGTACAGGGTTCAGCAACCTGGATTGTGACGATAGTAGAAGGTATCTTGAAAAGACCAGAAAGAGCAAAGGTACAAAAGATGTGTGGTGTGTGTGAAACTGATATAGAGAAAGCAAAGGAGCTGATGGAAGGATTGGTCTGCAAAAATCTGCAGTGGAAGCGGTAAAGAGAAGTAGATTTAGATGGATGGGTCAAGTGTTAAGAAGGGAAGATGATTAACATTAGAAAATAGCATGGAATTCGGAAGTGAATGGCATAAGAGGGAAGGAAGACTGAATAATTTTCTGAAAGATATGGTGAAGAAAGAAAGCAGTAGGATTGGTCTAAATAAGGAGGATGCTCAAGACAAGAAGAAGTGGAGAGAGGGATGAAAGTCAGTAGCCCCTCGTAAGAGGAAATATGCTGAGTTTAATAAATGAGGATGATGACGATGATGATGAGTAAATAATGTTTGAGGTAAAGAATATATTGGGATAAATATGAATGAAACTACTAATAATGATAAGACGGGCATCAATTGTGTGTTAAGTATTATTTAACATCGTTTTGGCTTCAATTTTATGATTTGTCCTTTAAACATCGGGACGGACGTAAGGACCGACCACCCAAAAACAACAGCAATAATAAAATAATGATAATAGCTTCAGGCATTTAAATGTTAGTACAAATTGAGTAAGTTTGTTCCAAGAGATATCCTACAACATTAACTATTTGTGCTGTATTGAGCTCTTTGATTTACCTTATAGTCAGGACTACTCAACATTTTTCAAAAATAATGTTATACAATCAGTTAAATAAATAATTATGATAATATTAAGGTAATTGTGGGCTAAACAATATTTGCAGTCTGGCAGATGGCAGAAAAAAAGAATTGAATATGCCTAAAAGAATAAAAAAAAAAACATTTTTCGTAGCAGGCTTGTTTCCATGCCAGCTGGAGAAGAGCTGAATGAGATAGTAGAGGGAGACAACATTAATATTATATCTATTTTGAAATCAATCTCTTTAATTAATTTAAAAAAATTATTTATGCTGTACTCTTGTCCAATATGTTTAATATTCTTCATGCCCCGCATCTACCAATAATTTGTTTTCTCCTGGACTATGTCTCCTTCCTTTCGCAAGATTGATCAATAAAGTGATGTTGAAATAAAAAACTAAATTATTTACTCAAACAAACTGTTCCATTTCCCACGTAGCCTTATTGCATGTACAGGTGAAACCCCCATCTTTATTGGAACATGCAGCATTGGTATCACAAGTATGAGTACCATCAAGACATTCATCCCGATCTAAAATGATATAAAGAAAAACAAATTGATCAACGCGTGTAATCATACCAGTAATAAGTCATGACAGCATGGAATAAATTCAACAACAACAACATCAAAAGGAATAATAACAACAGTTATATAAATATTAATAATAATAACAACAGTTATAATAATAATAATAATAGAAGTGATATCTTGCATATCGTTCATGTCTGGCACATTGCCACTCCTGGCACTATGTTATGATTACCCCGGCTTTAGCCCAGCTAGTGCTCGAACAACATCCACTCATCAAAAAAGAAAAAAAATGTTTCAATTTAAACTGTAGTGCAAAACCATTGTCAAAACCTCCATAACGGACTTTACTTTAACAGTGGCTTTGTCTCTATGTACAATCATTCATTTGCCACACGTGTAACTTTGCACAAAAGAATAGGCACCAATTATCATAAGAATTGCTACATGTATCAGCAACCCAATGGATTAGCTCCTAAACAACATTTAAACCATCAGGATAGAATAATCTTGCACTGAAAAGAGTTAAATAATCTTAAACTCTTTTGTTTATCTCCACCATGCATGCTTAATACTATGAGACACAAGGAGATTATTTGTGTGGCATATAAAAAGATAATAGTCCCATGGAATGACATATACAGGTTTACGTTTATTATTGTGTGTCATTATTTATATCATGTAGAAAGAAATGAAAATAAATTCGCTCAATATAGAGTGACCACTATACTACTACTACGGTAATAACAGAATCAAGGCCTACCTGAACAACCTCTTCCATCTGCTTGGAGCAAGAACTTCTCTCCACAGGAGCAGTCGTATCCTCCTGGGATGTTAATGCAGTTCATTTCGCAAAGATTCTCCCCAATGCATTCATCGATGTCTAAAGGAAATAAGAGGGGTACGTTTAAACAAATCGTCGCTGTTTTCACGAAGTGACGGTAGTGAAAAAAAATTGCATTTACTTTGCGTGACGTTTTTCCTCACTACCGTCACTTCGTGAAAACAAGGACGAAATATTGAATCACATTAAATTTTGCTAATCGTAGAACAAAATTCAAACATAAAATAGAATATAGAATGTACATGTATATTCAATAGATATCACACCGGGAGTTGCTCTGTGAAAAAAGTCATGTACAGTTTTTGTAAGCTCTCTTATACTTATTTAAAATTTCTGTTGATATTTAGATGTAATGGGAACTATCGGCTGCTTTTTAATGGAAAAATGAGCAAGAGTTTCAATAAAATTAATCACATGCGACTGCTTTCAACCAAAAAATTTGATTAGGATCTAGGAGTGAGTTGCACAGATACAAATATAAACATGTATTAGAAGAGAACAATAAATGATGAGAACAGCCATAACAGAAGGTGATACACAATGGTTTGGCTACAAGCCTTTTCCAAGTGTTATACCATGAACTGAGAGGCCCCCGTTGAAATCATAGTTTTTTTTCAGGGGCTCGATCAGCCCAAAGAAAATAGTCACTATGTCATTCACCAGAGATCTTTAATTTTTCGGGTGCCTCAAAAAGAGTGCATGGTATATTCGACAAAAATCTCTCATCAACAAATGAAAAATGAAAAGTATTAGCTATTTAGAAATGCATCTGAAAAAAATTATCCACTGACACCTTAGTCCAAAATACGCAAAATAAGCTCGTGAAGAGTGCTGCCCATTTCACAGTGACTGCAGTGGCAATATCGTGATAGGCCTATCGATTGCTTGGAATGGTAATATAAAAGGCTATACCCCGGTTGACGTCAAGCAAACTCCATTTTGGGCTTCATGGTGGAAGTATATACGTGAGCCATCTGTAGCCAATCCTTGCACTAGGACTTTTTAGAAGTAGAATATATGTGTATACACAGGCAAGTATCTGCTTACTTGGAGCCCTATATATAGTATTGTGGAGTTCAGAACATACAATCCATTGTCACTTGCATTACCCATGTCATTTTACTTCACAAATAGTCTTATCTTAGATCTAGTATGGCTAAAACCTTACAGCGGGACTGCACTACTTGTAGCTACTTGCGCCCTCTATATAACAAACAATGCCTAAGCGATACACGTTGTTCCCCCACGGTTCCCTTTTTCTTAAGTAATTGAGAGCTGATTTGATGACATAACCATCTGTCAGTGATCAAGCAGGGAGGTTTAATCCCTCCTAGCCAAACTAGTGCAGATAGGCTTTAATAAATACTTACATATGGCCTGCAATATATAAGGACAAAATAGGTTGGTATTTTTCATACCTGTGCAGTTGTTTATAGTTGAATTGAATTCATATCCAGTCTGATCACATACACAGATTTCCTCTTCCGTAGAATTAATGCAGACACCAGTGCCACATTCGAGGTCACAACTTTCAGTAACTGCAATATTCAAATGAAAGAATTTCAGATCAAAAATAAAATATTACAGTATTGGGTAGCCACAACTGCTATCATTATCAGCCCCACATTCGTTGCTAGGATACCTCGGTTGAGAGTGTTAACACCTTAAGAAATTGTGTCTGCACAAAAGCCTCATTGATCCCAGTTAAGGGAAAGCCAACCTTTGTAATATTTTTATTTCTATGAGAACAGAAAACTAAGAACAACAAAAAGGTGAAAGTTTGAAATAAATCGGATCAATAAGAAAAATCTGAATATTTGACATATAAAATCGCTACATCTGTTTCAATATGAAATTGTCAAGTTGGTCAGTGAATATTGACATAATCTTAATTTCTGTCGGCCTCGTCAGTTAACTGCCTTCTACATTGGGGTAGTCACTTAAAAAGATATTGTGGGTAGCATATCATTATATTATTTTTGCGAATAGAGTTGGCATAAATATCACAATTGAATGACACGCACCATTAAAACTAAAACAACAACCGCATCAGATCATATATGTTGGAATATTGAGTCATTTTGGTAGTTTGTAACGATATTCCAATTGACTATTACATGAGCTTTGCTACTGCTATGGTGTAAGATGGGGATGACCTCCTACTCAATTATATTTGGGTTTTTCTTTTCAGGAAGGCATATTTAAGGGCCCGATTGATCATATACGGTTCTTCAAATCGGCAACAACAACTTAATTTTTCTTTTAATGCTATATTTTTCAATGCAATGCAGTGTCTCTGGAAACGATATGCAGTATGTGAGGAGGGAATTTGTCCAAAAGTTGGACAAATTTCAAATTTTGATAACAAAACGTAACATGTGTTGCTAATTTAGGAATTATAATGCATATTTGCCCTCCTAAAATCTGTGATATCAAATGCAAATGATCATGCATACTATACTACTACGTTTTCGACTCCTATAATACCTTTTTAATTCAGACCTACTATATTGTGTAACTCAGTATGCGAGCCTATTCACTTTATTACAAGCTATGCTCTTTATTAAGGCTTCCTACATTGTACATTGTATTACCTTGCCTGTCATATCTATATATTTTGAAACTTCTATTTTCCGTACATGTATACTTGATTTGAAATCTTTATTTTTTTGTTGCAATCTACCCTAATACACTTGTATGAACAAAAAAAAAAGTTTTTTTAAAAGTAAATGGGGAACAAATACACTTCACACTTCAACTAAAATTAAAATGGGCACATGGTGTGCATAATTTAGTTTCCCTTCTTATCATGCATGTGGTATACTCGTTACAGCTCTGAATCAAGAGCTGTCCAGCACGTCAAACCACAAAATGAGGGAGGGGGATTTCAAAGGGTTAACAAAAGGAAATACATACCCATGCATGTCTTGTTATCATTCGTAAGAATAAAGCCTGAAAAACAACTGCAGTTGAACCCAGGACTGTCATTAATGCAGCTCTGCTGACAATCGTGAGTTTCCAATGTACATTCATCGATATCTGTGAAAATAGAATAGCAAGAACAATAAGAATAACAATGACAGTTAACAAACATAAAGTAATAATAATTTTTTTATGTTAATAATATGTCTTATTTTACCAAGGGTAGCCTCATCAGTATTTACACTGTTCTCCTTAAGGGACCTGCAATCATTTAAGCCAAGTTACCATGATTGAGGCGCACAAGCACTCAATAAATTTCTGCCGACCAATAATAACATTAAAAACAACAATAATAATGATAACAGTAATATTAATATAAATATAATTTATAGTATCATTATACAATTTATGTTATGTTTCTCTGTATGTTTTTGGTTATCTCTGCCTGGAAATGAATTAAAATAGTACTGCTCCGACTTGAATGGTGATGCGATATGGGCGACATATAGACCATGATTGGTTGATAGTTTGTCACGTGATTGAAGTGCACCAATCATCTCCAAATGCAATTTGTGTATAGCTAGAGTATGTGACGTCACCCTAAAAAATCTACGTGGTATTCTATGCGTTAGCAGCTAAGAAATTTGAAGAAAACAAAGGATAACCTAAAGCACCTATCACGGAACGCAAGTACGCCTTAGCTTTCACGCGGCCCTTGTTCTATGCGAACACAGACACATGCATAGACTAGTCGATTTCTTTGTATCTCTTTGTAAAAGAAATATTTGAACCTCATAGATTGAAGCCAGTACAACTGGGTACCCCTTTCGTCAAGACCAAAAAATGCTTTGGTAATTGAGTGAAGGTTGCAAAAATACAACAGTGGAAATGGCTTCAGTGGACAAGTTTGCATGTAGGTCATTTCTACATGAACATGTGTACAAGGTTTTTGCAACTTGTACCTCTTTCCATAACCAAATAGGTACCAGTTTGGTTTGGGTTGTGGCATCCAAGCGATGTATGAATACCACGCCCATTGTCAGTTCAAACTGGAAGGCTGCCATAGCCCCACACGGCTCACACCCATTATCAATTTCCAGGAATTTCCATCACTTTTTCATAATTAATTATTTTTCCATATATGTAGGTTTTTCCATAATATAGTCTTTATAACTACCTTCACATATGAGTCCACTTCCTTGAAGTCCTTCGTTACATGAGCAGACGAATGATCCATTAGTATTCACACACTGTGCGTCCATATGACAAGGGTTATTGACACATTCATTCTCATCTAGATAAAGATAGATAATGCATTACAGTGAAAATAGTTACGTCTTTCGGATGGTGACGCCAAAGTTTGGTCCCCAGACATAAATCATTATATTGATTTGATAAACGTCTGTAAAAATCCTTACACACCTGTTTATGAAAACCTTTCAAGGGAGACAAGAAAAGAGGTATTCATAGCAAGGGGGTCTTTATGTAAAAGTTACTGTACGACAATGAAGCCTGTATATAAAGACCGCTCAATGGAGACAAGAAAAGTTGTTTTTATAGTGAGGTAGTCTTTAAACGAAACTATTTTTTCAGAAATAGTCATACATTAAGGGTTGCATCATAATTAATTTCAAAGTCTAACATATTTTCCAATCATAAGACAATAAGATGGATTACAATAGATAGATTTGGTACCAAATTTGTAGTCATGAGATTTTGGCCAGAATATTAAAACTTTCCCACAATGACTCAAAAATTAAACTTGCCCATTGAATTGTACAAACAGCACAAATGTATGATTTGAATTCTCATTATTTCATTTTCAGACATTACCATTAGTAGCCAAACTTACCTTTTAATTATAAGACGGTAATACAAAGTTGGTTAGCTTAGATTTGATACCAACATTGTAGACATATGTCAAGTGTTGACCAAAATCTACAAGGACTTTCAAAATTGTACAAAATTCTCAATTTCACCACTCAAATTGTATGGGCAGCACCGCTTCCTTCACCACCCCTGGTCTTCCAACTTCAAAATGCTGTAACACTAATTGTGAATATAACTTAATTAGCAAGCAAATTACTTTGTAACTCAACTTCAAAAATGATACCAAAATGTGTACAGCACCACCTTTTTTGGCAAGCTCATGACACATGTCCTGTTACATAAAGATTTTCCAAGGCATAGTAGAATATATAAAGGCATTATTGTATTGCATAATCATTATATTTTTGGGGCAAAACAGAAGTTGTTATGGGCTGTAATTTTGAGAATCATTGATGTAAGAGAGTATTTTCTTCACCTTCACATTCTCCCTGTAGATTTTGTATGTAGCCGTCGGCACACTGACACTCAAACGATCCGTTTGTGTTGACACACAGAGCTGACATGGTACAGTTATCCTCTTCAGAGGCACACTCGTCGATGTCTAGACAGAAATATCAAAGCATATGTCAATTTATTTTGTGAGGAAAATTTAACGCAAAAAGTAGAATCACAAGATATTGCAAAAGAATGTTACTAAAAACAGGAAAACACCTTCGCAGGCTTTAAAGAGGAATGTTGTAACCTAAGATTTCATTTCTACAGGCTCATTCACAAGCACTTTGTAAAGTGCTTGTACAGAAGCATACTAACTTTCACATTTTTAAAATCCTTATCTATAAACACACATAAATGTGGAGCGCACGAAGGACCATTGTGGTGGGGGGGGGGGGGGGGTGGGAGGAACTACATCAAGCCCCAACATATTAAAAATGCTTCTATGAGCACTTTTCGTCAATGGGAAGGGGGGGGGGTGCAAGGTCCAGTTGTGCATACCTGGATCTACCACTGCTAGAGTTTACAAGTAAACTTAGCTTTGACTTTATTTTTGCATAATAACCTGAAAATATGAATTATTTCTGGCTTTTGAATACAATTAGTCAATTGTAACAAGACACTTACCATAGTGCATTAGCTTGATAACATTACAACAGTTGTCTGTTTTATAAATGTTGACAACCATCCCCAGGACAATTACCCACCTGGAATGTATTCCCTAGGACGATTACCCCTGAGGACAATTACCCCCTAGGACAATTACACACCCAAGGATAATTACACCCCACCCCTAGAAATTAGCCCCCCCAGAACAACCAAAGAAAACCACCCTAAGAATAATTACCCCTCCCCCCACTCCTAAAAATTACACCCTAGGGGGTTATTTTCCAGGGGGGGGGGATTGTCCTGCTGGTAATTGGCCGGGGGTGATTTCCCTGGAGGTAGAACCTTTGACAAGAACAACCTTAACCTAAAGTTTCCCAAATTTGGTTGCAGTTTTAGAGTAAATTATGCAAGGTTACTGGTCATATAAAGAGATTCTTTGTGGGTGAAAAATTACATGCAACCGAAATTCATGATACAAAAGACAATAAGGGATGGGTATAGAAGTGCTGGTGTTTTCTAGGGAAGCATTGTTCATTTTTTGGTAAAATTTAAAATGCAAGCAAAGTATTCACTTAGATATGTAGTGGTACACTGCTTTAGGTTTTTTAAGATGATGTACACGTAAACTCTAATGTTATAACACAGAGCTCAGTGAATGTGCGTAGAACCTTTGTTGAACTCAGTTGCCATTCATTTACATGTAAAAAGACTGTGGCGGCTTAGCACGTCACATCTGAATGAGCATCAAGAGTAAAATATTATATCCATGAAGTCTTTTATGACTTACCGAAGCATGTGATTCCATTTCCAACATATCCTTCATTGCAGGTGCAGAAGTAGCTCCCAGGATTATTCTCACATGTCGCATCATCACTGCAATCATCTCTATTAGTGAAGCACTCATTAGCATCCTCACAGTAGGTACCGTTGCCGACCCAGCCTCCATCACACGCACATGAGAAACTACCACGTGAATTAACACAAGTCGCCTGTGAGGCGCAGTCATTTAGAGATTCGTCCAGACATTCATTCATATCTTGAATAGAGAAAAGAAATAGAAGGTGACATCAAGGTCAGGGTTGTGGTGAGCACCATTTTTCTTTCTTTCTTGCCCCCGAAAAATTGAAAAATCGTGCCCACCGATATTTCGCTCAGTGGGGGAAGGGGGGGGGGGGTGTAATGAGCACTAAATTTCAACCCCCGTTCCTCTTAATTTACTCTTTCCTAACAATGCCAGAATATCCAACCACCATTGTGCGGGTAAGCCTGAATCCAATGACTGGGGTAATAATATACTTATCTGTAAAGCGCTTTGAGAGGGCCTGCGGTCCTGAAAAGCACTGTATAAGAACAAGCTATTATTATTATAATTATTCCTCTTTTCCACAAATGCAAGATTGTACAGTTTGCAGTGGGCTGTAGACAGTCTATTCATACATATTGCATATACCGGACTGCAGCTAAGTGTTTTGTTCAAGCACGGTCACCTTATCAAACAGTGCAAGCTAGGGATTAATTGCTTTGTGTGTGAATCACGACCAAACAATACTGAGCATGGTCAATACATATCCACCCGCGTTCTGCCCACGCAAATGTGGAAGTTTATCATGGCCGGTACTGTACCTGTACAAGTGGTTCCATCTCCTACGTAACCCTCATTACACGTGCATATGAAAGAGCCTTCATTGTTTCCACACGTTGCATCTGCATCGCATGGGCTGTCCACCGTGCATTCATCAATATCTGGGAATAAAGACAATCATAAGCTTAAAATCTTCATCATCATAACAAAATAAGTTTTTACAAATCAGGGTGTTTGTTAGAGAGTATTAGCTAAAAAGCCATCAAATGGCAATTTGTTGTATGTGCCTGAACGTGCAATAAAGAGCATCCTCTTTTAGCATGTTAAAGTGTACGTCATACAATTGTTTGTATTGCCTTAGCCGCATGGATCCGACATGGAAAGCTTGATGGCTTGAACAAACCCCCAAGAGATGAGATATTGAATGAATATCGTTCTGTATGAAATATATATTTATCAAAAGTCAGAAGTTCCCTAGTGCAATTTTTCTTCAATGTCAGCAGAACTTCACTCAGGAATGTCTGAATTTGTCTTTGTCTTCATACATTGTGTTATACTGATCGAACTCGGAGCATTCAATATTTGTAGCTATACAGCTACATGTACTACTATGTAAATATATAGCTCTTCTGCCTTTTGGTGAACAGAACAGAATCATCATGCTTTTAATACTCATTATTATTATTATCATTATTATTGTTATTATTATCATTACCATGATTATTATTATAACCAAAATCATCATTATCATTACTATCATTTCTTTCATTATCATTATTATCATTATTCCCATTATTATTATCATCATTGTGATAATTATCATGATTATTATTATAACAAAAATTATCATCCTGATTGTCATTATTACTATTTTTTATACTATTCATATCATCATTATTATCATTATAAGTGACATTACTGACCTTCACAATTGACGTTATCATTTGTAATTGGAGAAAATCCGACTTCGCAATAGCATTGATAGGACCCGATGGTATTATTACAAAGACTGTTGTTTTGGCAACCGTGTGTACCCAATATGCACTCGTCAATATCTGAAAATAAATAAAGATTTCAATTTCTGATACAACTCATATGAATGTCTTATGTGACTGAAGCCACTTTGAGATGTGAAGCGCGGTCAAGCGCAGCGTTTTTAAAATTTATTTAGCATTTATTTATTCATCTTCAATAGGTAAACTCTTACTTTTAAACTTTTGTAGAAATTTTTATCTTAACAAATGAATGAAATGAATACATGTCATAATGAAAGAAATGATTATCTAAATGTACATATCCAGTTAACAACTAAGTTGTTCATACCATTAATATGCTTTTGCAATTTTGTTTAAAGGGATCTGGTAACTTTGTCTCAGATCCTTAAACTAAATCCTTGATTTAGCTCATGCTGCAATCATAATTATAAACCTTTAGGTCATTCAGGAATCCCATGACTTTTACAAGCTGATCGCCTGTCCGATTATCAAGATATATTAATGATTGAAAATCGAAATTTAGTTTCACGTTTTCCTAACAGTTTTCATAACACTACAGTCTATTGGGGAAAATGAGTATGGTAAAACCGGTCACTCAAAGATCTTTAATTTTTTGAGGCACTTCATGATCATTTTGAAGTGCATTTTTTTATGGCTTCAATATTACACCACATCACAGACACTGATAACAAGTAGGGCCGTGTATTTTAGATTTAACATTGTTAAACAATGCCTTAATAGATTTGTCAAAATTTACATATTTCTTGAGAATGTGACATATTAAGCTTATATCTTTTCAACAATGGCTCTAGTCCTAGTCCTTTCATTCATGAGTTACGAAACACACACACAATCCAAAAAAAAAAAAAAATGTAGGGTATAGTTGTTACGAACATGTATCAGCTGTGGTGATGAGTGCGTTGCAATTAGGCTTTATATAAGGGGCAGTCTAAGGTATAGCATATATGTTAACAAGTTTCTGTGAATTGCATTATGAAACTGTGCACATAAATTGACATAAACATAATAATAGTCACATTTGTAAAGCGCTTAATAAAATGTTTCTAAGAGCTTTATTATTACCTGTGTCATTGGGTTCAATGGATCATCATTGTTATTATCATTTTCATTAATACTATTAATTATATTGTTATTATCATCATCATTACTATTAGGCTTATAATTATTATTGTTTTTATTATCATTATTGTTATCACCCTTAATTGATATTTATTAATATCATTACCATATCAATCGAAAGATACTTACCATTACACCTTCTTTGGTCCATATCAAGTGTAAAGCTATCATTACATGAGCAATCATATCCATTAAGTCTGTTATGACAGTTCTGATCACATTCATTAAGTGTGTCATTTGCACACTCGTCAACATCTAGACAAAAATCAGCATAATACAATGTCATCTAAAAGCACACAATAAACTGTCCGTTACATGAAACTTTTGGGAATAAAATCTCCATTACTCAAAGATAAAGTTGAGTTTTTGTCATGCAGTTACCTGTACATTATGCAAGAAACTGTTTAGAAGCAACAGTGAAATATCAATAAAGTACTACATAATAAATGCTGCATGCAGTGATGTTTTGGAATCCATCAAAATAACAAGAAATGTACTGGCAAATTGCTTTTAGATTACATTATTATTATTATCATCATCATCATTATTAATGTAATTATCATTAGTATTATCTTTATTGCTATATCATCATTATTAATATTATATTATTATCAAGATAGTGATTATCATTATCATTGTTATTATTTATAGTTACTATCATCATTGTTATTGATATTGTAATTATTATTCTCATCATTATCATTATTATTAATATTATTATTATCTTAGTAAGCAAGTTCGTAATTGCATACTGCGCATGCGCCAAATTCGGGCACAAACTTTTCCAGAAGTCAATTGAACATCAAGAGAGCCAAAAGAGGATATGTGATTTGCTTGTGTGCTGGCCTTTCCGTTGTGAATGATCACATCCGTCACCAAAAGTCATAACTGAAAGTCGGTATCAGTTCTTTATAGTAAACTTTACTTGGAATCTGATCATCAGTAAAGTATTATCCCCAGGACTTGGATCCATGGACCCTTTTTACTCTGAATTTTTTTTTCTTACCTTCCAAAATTGTATCCACCAAAGCGAGCGTCAAGTCAATTTATCTAATAGGCCTATTAAAGTCCTTCACTAAATAAAGTTATAAGTCACATGTATTTAGTCAAGCATTGATTAGGCTGAATGAATGAAAATTACATTATATCTTGAACGATTATTGAAGACGAAATATTACTTTTATTACATTTAAAAAAAACTTTGTGATCCGAGTCCCCCTCTATGAGAAATTTGATTTGACGGTCCACAAGCGTATATCATCTTTTGAAGGAGCCTCCCCAGCCCATTTTAACAACTCTCATAGGAATTTTTGATGAAATAGAAAGCAAGGCGAACAGTCGGTAAAACAGTAAACAGTGAAGGACGAACACACGCACAATTTTTCACATAGCCCTATGTTCACTACAGAGAGCGTGCTAGTGAACGGATGAGTAAGCTTCGGAATATGTTCATTTGACCTATGACATATTGACGTTATACGACTCCAGTGGTTAATTACGAACTCGCTTATTTGTATCATTATGATTATTACTGTTACTATTGTGGTAAACAGAGGCATACCAAAGCAAGTTAATCCATCTCCTGTAAGAGACGGTGGGCATGGTCCACACACCGGCATAAGTGAAGGTGGCGGCTCGTCAGAGCAGAAAACACCTTCATAACAAGGGGAACCTTGACAAGAGTCGAAGTCTACACCACAGTGATCACCTGACCAGCCAACCTCGCATGTACATGTGACAACCTGTAACACAGTCATTGAATTCAATCCATTGATGTTTTATTAACAAGAAAATAAGTATGTTAACTATGCACATAATTGTAGTCCAAAGTCACTCAGAAGAAGTAAAAAAAAAAAAAAATGGACACTCTTGATTAAAATTTTCACATAATAAAACATTTAACAAATTCCTATTCAAATGTTAATGAACATGTGGATATGTGTGGCATTCTTGTTCAGCAAAGAAGAGCTCTGGATGTACGTCAACTGAAGTCTCATTCCTGCATAGTTTGGCAAGCACGGTCAAGATGCCCTCCCTTTTCACCTAAGATCCTAAATGATAACAATTTGAATGACCAGATGCCCATTTTTTTACATTATCATTCAGCGACTTATTTATTGTTAATTGTGTATGCTCACTCATGCATGAATGGTATGATTATAGATGTATATCATCTTAAAGAGGATTAATTCATTAATTTTAGTTTATGAAAGCAAGGTATATATTAAATACTTTTTTGAGAATCTTAACTATCAAGAGTATCCCATTTTTTTCTTCTTAGTGCAATATCATATTTAATATTTAAAATGGATACAAAATTTTAAACAAAATGTACATATCAAAGCCATAAATTAAAAAGTAGATAAACTTTAAGAAAACAAATTATAAAACATGCAATAGATTGGTAATTAGTTAAGAAACGTATTGTGCAAATCAAACTAAAGCGAGAATGAAAAATATTAAAATATCATGTATGAATAGAAGTGCTAAAAACATTCTGACAGTACTAGCTGTTAGCTATTTTTCCGTACCGATTTACAACACCATAGTCTGTATTTTGGTAAAACACACTCATAAAGAACTCAGGGAATAAACCCAAGGTAACTTCAATTGCTTTTGTGCCACCTTTTGATACATGTGCTCAAAGATTACAATGGATTGTTACATAATCCAAGCATGATTTCTAAAAAGAGCAGTAAGGTGATTATTTGTAAGTCTCTGTGACTGTGTTATGCATGGAGATATGGAGTTCTTTACTACTTTTTTTTTGCGGAATAAAAGTGTTGCTGTAAAAATAGGGCATAGTGATGATGCAAATTACTTGCTTGAGAAAACATTGACGAGGTTGATGAAATCATAAAGATGAAACATTGGTATTGGTACACCAACAGAAATCACAAGCTGCGTTTTTAAAAATATGTATATTTGTTTGATTTTCAAAACTATTTCAAAAAAAAAAAAAGTTCATTCATATTTTCAAGATCTAAGTTTGCTGCTACTAACAGTAAATGATTGTTTATATAATTTTGTCAATATTTTCCAGTAATTCCATATTTCTACTCACGGTAAAGCCATTGTTGTTGAGATCCTGATTTGCTGCTAAGATGTCAAAGTTGCATACTCCATCATTGGAACACTGACACACTCTGACCTTGTAAGCTAGTAAAGAACTCGCCCCAAAATCATCGGTTGCTACGATCTCAATCATAGAAACATCTAAGCTTGGAGGAGTCCATGTGAACAATCCAGTATCTGCAACAGTCAAAGAATATAATAATAATAATAATAATGATAATAATAATAACATATGTAATAACAACAATGACATGCAATGCGAATCTATCCTCTAGTAGTGGCAGCGATTTTTGTGTCATCCTTATGTTCGAAGGAGGGACAAAGATCCCCTCTTCCCCTCCTTGCATGAAACAAAAGGATGACGTAGAGATCACCACTAGTGGCTCAGACTATTGTCAAGACTAGGAGCAGCATCACCAGAACAATATGTGTGTAGATTAAAGTATAATGCATCTCTATAGAAAATTTGAAAGATATCTGTCAGGAAAAGTGGCAGTTAGAGCTGCGCACAGAAGACAGCTACCAAATACGACCTTTGACCCTATTACAGACGGAACACAGGTGACAGCATCACCAAACACTGAAGATTTGTAGAATTTACTAAGACACACCTCCATACAAAATTTGACAGAAATCTGTCAAGAAATGCATGTGGCAGTTAGAGTGCATAAAAAACATATGACCTTTGGCCCTATAAGGGATTGAACAATGAAGGCAACGTCGCCTAAAAATGTAGATCTACATATTGTATCAAGACCAAATAACCAATGTTTTGTTTCTTGTACCTAGTCACGAAATTAGTGATTTTGGGGCTGATATGCAAAGACAAAAGGTCATGTGATTTTGTAACGGAGGGTCCGGTTTTTGAAAATGTGTTTAGAAAGTTGCGCAAAACTCTAAAGAAAAAGTCAGGAAGTGGCACCATGAAATATGTAAGTATTAAGAAGTAATCAGGAAAGTAGAGAGGGGGGGGGGGGGGGGGGAATCAGCCTCCCAGCCCTTTTAGAGTTAGGATTCTGGAGAAAGACGAACAACCACCCTGGCCTGATTAGGGTTAATGTGCTCACAAATTACCCAAGATTCTAGCTACTTTAGGCTCCCGATATTTGGTGCTCACAGCATTCAAGGAATTCCTTCCTACCAATTAATAGACTTCAATGATTATTTTCAATGAAATTACTCTTTGTATGATCATCAAAGCTTTACTGCTCATGTTCGATTTGTAATTGTCATCAGAGCATACTGGATTAAAAGATTAATATTAAACGTCACTAAAAATCGACAATAAACTGCAACGTACTTTGGTCTATGGTTGCGCCAGGCAGAGCACCCTGCAATGAATACTGCACAACATCTCCGTCATTTGGATCTGAAGCTGTTATTTGTAAGGTGACTGTTTGGTTAACAGTAACACGCAGTATACCACTCTCTGACAGTGCGTCTGTCGAACTGGTCTCAATGACAGATGTGATGTTAGGTGGGAAGTTATCTATAAATTGAATAAAATAATAATTATAACAAGATTAATAATAATAACAATAACCAAAATAATAATATTAATAATATTCAAAACAATAATAATGATAGTAATGATCATAATAAAAGTAAAATGTATATTAATGGAAATAATGATAATAATAATAAGAATATCATTTTATTTCTAAAGTGTGTTTTCATATGATACATAGCACATTTACATTAACATATTACTGTACTAGTGTATTTTGCATGATGTTTCGTTTTCGGTAAAGGGGGGGGGGGGGGGTGTTTAGAAATTTGAAACAGAGTTACCAAACATGCTGTCCAAACAGCATTAATTTGTACTACAAATTCATTTGAATTTATTAGGATTCATTTTCTTTTAAATGAAGAAAATGACAACAAACTGTAACTTACTTAAATCAGATAGCAGTATATCAAAAGCATTGTTAGAAGACAATGTATCTAAACCAACAGATGGATCAACTGCTAGGGAATCAAAGAGGCATGCTTCACTATCCCCACAAAACGCTAAAGCTTGTGCTGCCAACTCCGGATCTGCCTCAATCAGCTCAAAGAGGAAGGGAGGGACGTAGGAAGGATCGTTATAATGACTCCAATCCCGATCACCATAATCGAAAAGAGATTCACTAGGTGAGATCATCCCTTCAGAGAAAAGAAACAAATTCAAAATAAATGGTTAAAGTGAAATCTATAGGGAGACAAGAAAGTGGTCTTTATAGGCAGATGGTCTTTAGAGACAGACTTAACTCTGTTTCGTTGACAATCAGCCATGCATGAAATCTTTCGTCTATGGCTGATCGTCAATGAAACGAATTTCAGTCTTTTGTCAATTCTATTTGTTGCTACGGTAGGCACCCAGTGAAAACAAATTTGTTTCAAGAAATTATGGAAATGCAAGCATTACTTTAAACAAACAGAACTTTGTTATTCCTAGCTCATTGATTGAGGTGTCATATGAAAGGACAGAAAATGAACTTTCTACAAATGTGATTTTCTCTTGGAATTTCAGATACCGCCCGCCAAATGACTTTTTGGTTTCCTTTCTTCAAATGTAATTCAATCGCTCATTACAAATATGTGTCATTTATTAATTATAATCGTGATTAAGTTATGAACAAAACATTGATATGTCTCAGATTCGTTTTTTCTAGGGCGCACTGTATATTGTGAACTATCTGTATCATTAAAAGGAGCAATTAATAGTTCACTAGTTCAGGACACAACATATGGTGATATGTAAGGCATGCTAAAACAGGAATTTGGGAAATAAGTTTTGTGTGTTTTGGAAGAATGTTGAATCAAGCAAAACCCTTTCGCACAATTAATCTTAAAAGAAAGGAAAGTAACTCACAACTTTGTCCAAACTCAAAGATATCTCTCTCCGTCAGGTTTCTCTCAGCCGTATCCATGATGATGGTTCCGTCCCGGTATTGGAAATCATCATTCTTATCACCATTCATGAGGCCTAAACAAAATTTAAAAAAATTAAAAGAATGCAATGATAACAAAATTTATAATTTAATAATGATAGTAGCATTAATAAAAATAACAGTAGTAATAATCATAATAGAAATAATACTCATAATAAAACTAATAATAATAATAAATAAAAATGATAATAATAATAATAATGATAATAATAATGATGATAATAATCACCATAAATATAGTACTCATAGTAAATAATAACTATGATTATTATAACTAGTAATAATAATGATACTTAATATTAACACCATAATTTTTAATAATTTCATTATTTTAATTATTATTACACTACTAACCAAATAGACCATTTCCAATCCCTCCAGTAGCGTATTCTCGAGGAACAAAACTATTTCCTAGTAATATTCCAGCTCTGAAAACCACACGAAGTCCGGAGCTAGGTATGTCTGGTAGTTTAAAGGTAACGATGATAGCAGTTTCACTTTCTGCCGCCTCATCATCACTGTATAGACTGAAAGTTGGGTCAGCGGAATCGTAGCCATCTGCATGAAGAAATACATTAATCTCTTAAAAAGAATTCTGATAGAGCAATTTCATCCACAAGTGAATAGTCTCTTGGTATGTTACTGATCTTACACAAAAGAACCGGCCATAAACAGTCAAAGCAAGAAATGTTCATTTGGGATGAAATAAATTGGTCATACAGTGCATGTTGTACGGGACACAGTGCATGTTATCGCTCTATATGTATATCATTTCAAAATAAAGGCTCCTCCCATGAAAACAGATAATCAAAACAGATATTGTTAGTGACAACGATGTGACACATAGTACACTCCAAAACAAGTTTCCTGTATTTATCAGGTATCTACATGTATATCAAAGCATATTTACAATTTCTTTAATAAAGAGGTGAGGAAAAAGAATAATCATTTATATTTTCATTTTATAGTGGGTATGTACATTTGTATATACATGTAACCCTCCTGCATCTAATGTATGTTAATTATGCATTCAATATATTTGTTTTAGTTCATATATTTTCTGTATAAAATTATGTACACTTGAAATATTTTATCAAGCCATATTATGTTCATGAAAATGTATGGTGAAAAAGAAAGAAAAAAAGATGCAGAAACCAATAAATCAAATAAAATCAAAGCAATAGTACCGTGAAAGGCCTGTTTACTAATTCTATGAATGCTTCTTGAACAAAATTGCTCTTGACAACTAAAAAGAGAAACATGTATACATTGAAATACATTAGTACACGGGCCTATCACATGTACCAGCAGTACCTGCTTCAAGAGATGTTATATCGACCGACGTCTGGTTGACTGAGAGTAGCAGCTCTGTTCTATCATCATTTAAAGTAAATGATACCTATAAAGATAAACCCAAATCATGTAATTCAATCATCTTCATCTTCATTATCACCAGGCCAAAGTCTGGGTACAATGTGTTTCCTCCTGTACAGGCTCTTTTGCAGCTCATTCTTAGTGATATTCATATTTGACAGTTCTTGATTCATTTACTCTGTTTACATCTGTTGTATAATGCCAACATGAATGATTGAATCTCCTGAGCTCAAGCTTCTTAAATAGGATAGGCATTCTCCTTTGTGAATTAAGTAGAACTGACATAATCAAGCAATTCGTTGTCTCTCTCCCAGACTTTTTCACTTTAGTTCATGGATTTTGTAGACTGTTCCTGGTCTTACTATATCCCAACATGACATGTTTATTACATGCACTATTTATGTAGACATATCATGCCCACGGTGAATGAACTGTAGAGCTTGTGCATGCACAATGATCAGAATGTGTGCGCCTGTATTCCCCAAGGGAGCAGAAAGTGTAAACTGTCTAGTACAGAATCGTAATAAAACACACTATAAACCATATTGTTATATCACATATGAAAGGGGCAAGGAGTGGCCACGTTTTACATTCTAGATTCACGTATCAGGACAATTATCTCCTGGTAAATCACCTCCCCTGGAAAAGTACACCCCTCCTGCAAGAACAATACCCCCCCCCCCCGAGCCAATCCACCCCTGAGGACAATTACCCCTTGAGGATAATACCCCCTTTGTTCATTTAAGGGAATTCTACCCTTTTTTTGGCTAAAGTAATTTTCCTCAGGGGGGGGGGGGGTAATTTTCAAGGGAATGTTTGTCCTCGGGGGTGGTTGTCCTCAGGGGTTGATTGTCCTTGGGGGTTATTGTTCCGTTCGTAACTGGCTGGGGGTGATTGTCCAGGGGGTAATTGTCCTTGGGGGTTATTGTTCCGTTCGTAACTGGCTGGGGGTGATTGTCCAGGGGTAATTGTCCTTGGGGGTTATTGTTCCGTTCGTAACTGGCTGGGGGTGATTGTCCAGGGGGTAATTGTCCTAGAACCCTAGATTCAACCTTTACAGTGTTGGCTCAAGCTTGTTCAAAGTGCTAAACTGACATTTTGGAAAAGTGGGCCCTTTTAAATGGTAATATAACAATTTAGTTTTAAGAGTAGTAAATCCATCGACCAGGGTAATAATACGCTAAGTATTTTGACCGGTTGTGATGATGGTGGGTTCATAAAAAGAGCATATCCATCATCCCGTGACTTTCCTCGGGCTCCAACATTATCACTCAGATTACAACCAAACAGCCAAATATGTAGCTCTCTAGTATATCAGGTACCCATGAACACCTGGGTAGAGAGTGCCAAATGTTGATCAATGTCTTGGCAGAGGATGTTAGTGCAAGACCAGGATTGGAACCCCCAACCCTTAGATTGAGAGTCAAGTGAATGAACCACTATACCACAATACCACAATTTTTTTTTGTAATGAACTTTGTAACTGCTTTTAAAAGTCTTACCGGAAGACATTCCTTTTCTTGAAAGCATATAGTACCTAAATTTGTAGAATTTGTACACAATTTGTAATCTTGAATCTATCCTTTCTTTAATACTTTCATAATGCGTTCAGGAAAACTAACTAGATAGATAAATAGCGCATTTTAGGTGCATTATTAAATATCATGATTGATATTACTTTAATTTATATTATATATTATTTAATATTTACTTTATTTTAATCATTATTTGTATTATTATTATTATTTATATTATTATTATTATTATTATTACTTTTATTATTAGCATATAAAGTGATTTGTAAGGAACGCTTATTAAGAACGAATTCTCACGTTTGTAATGCCTTGTGTCGCAGCGAAACCCGCAAAGACTGTCCCTGTGTTAACAGGTTCACCATTCCTGAATGCTGCGCCGGTACGAGTCTGGAGAACAAATGGGTCATTATTGTTGTATTGCATCATAATGTACTCGCCAAATCCATTGAAGCTGTACATCCTCCCATCAAAGGTTAAAAAGTGTGGGTCACCAGATCCCTGAGCTAAAAGGATAAAAATTAATGATGAGAATCACAATACCAATTATATTAATAACAAAAATAATAATGATAATAATAATGAAAGTAATAATAATAAATAACAATATTAATAACATTAATAATACAGTGAAACTTACTTATAAAGCCCATTCAAGGAAAATCTTTACCAAAAGCGGTCTTTATTGTAGGCAAGTGGTCTTTATCAAAAGGCCATTTTGTTGTATCCATCAAAATTGAAAGATTTAAACGGTCATGTACAATTAAGTTGTTGCACCAGGAATTGACTCAAACTTTTGTATTTTCTATTTCTGCTTATGGATAATGTGTTATTCCGTCTTGATGTACAATTAGCATTCTGCATCACCATGTATTTTTCAAAAAGTCCCCCCAAAAGAGGCAATGATCTGCTATATGGGCTAATTATTGTAAATAGATGAAGAACCTACCACCATTGGGAGGGTAATATCCGTCACAGCTTGCCTGCGGGCGACGCTCCTCATAAAGATCACAATATCCCTCACTAAGAATAGCCCTTTCACAGCACATTTGTCTAGGTACGACGTCCTCACCTAAAACATTGAATGGATTTCAGGATAAAATATTCTTGCATTAACCCTATCTAGTCCGGGGAGGGGGGGGGGGGCTTTAGTTTAGAAGCCCCCTCCCCCCTCAACATTTTTCACAATAATTTTTTAACGCAAGAAAATCTTGCACTGACATTTTTTGACTTTTTTCTTTCAAATCTTTTGAAAGAAATTTTTCGAAAATCGGAACTACCATTACAAAGTCACATGTCCTTTTGTCATTGCATGTCAGCCCGAAAATCGCTCATTTTTGTGATTAGTGTACAAAACATATGGAAATCTCATTTTTCAAATAAAGAGATAAAACATTGGTTATTTGGTCTTGTTTATAGTTTAGGTGTTTAGTTTGGGGTCAAAATAGTTGAATTATAGTTGGAAATGAAATTAAAAAAAAAAAAAAAAAATACATACCGTAAGTTAAAAAACTAAGAAATACATAAGAAACAGTGAAAAAATACTTTAAACATTTCAGGGGTAACTTTTCAAGCTTTCTTGCATGAAATTAACACTCTTTTTTTTTATTTTGCATTGAACTCTATGCAATTTAGGGGGGCTCTTTTATGACTTCCAGGGGCTCTTTTTGGCATTTCGGGGGCTAATTCGCCCCGAGCCCCCGTGTATTTTTTCCCCAGATAAGAAATTTTCAAAACAATAGATAACTTAAGGAATAACCTTACTCTTCAAATTTTTGGGGCTGTATTATTATCACAAATGGTCTAAATAATATATGTAGTGAAAATTAATGTTTAAATATGAAGAATATATGATTTATGGATAAAAATGTGAAAGTTATTACCCTATTTGCATAAATAACCATAAATATGCAAATGAGTGAATTAAAAAAAAAAAAAAAAAAAATTACCATAGTATTCTATACATTTCATTTGACATGCAAGCAAATTTTCGCGGCGATCGGTCGTTTCACGGCCGAGATCATAGGGGGCGGGGGCCTTAGAAGCCAAGGATAGTTGTCCGGGGGGTAGTTGTCTGGGGATGGTTGTTCGGGGGGTATTCCGGGGGTTCACAGTGAACATGTATATACATATCATATACATGTATATATAAGAATAAATGAAATCTTTGTCGGTTAATGAAAAACAGATAAGTAGAAAAGAAACTATATTAGATATAAAATATACAACATCACTGTACATGTATTTCTACAGTGTATTGTCATTATTGTATATCATACATGTATGTGTATATCTCCGAAAGACACTGAAGACTATGGTGTCATCTACTACATATACTTTTTTTGATGAAAGATGAAAGTGGGATTTCTAGCTAATTTAAATTTAAATTTAATACAGGCTGATATTTCCAAACACATAAATGAAACTTACTTTTCCATTCATTATACAAAGCGTCATTGTTTCTTAGAGATTTTGCAAGTAAGAGTGCCTGGAAATTGCTGGATTCCCATAGGTTCTGGTAGTCTGTGACTAGAGCATCATTAATGTAGTTACAGCGGAAACCCTCATCACCATCCGTGGTTGACTGGTAGCAGTTCACTGAACCTAAGCGGGCAAAGGGCATTGGGAAGGGGTAATGGAGGGGGTAGAATGTGGAGAAGGGAAAAGGGACGGGAGTAGAGGGTTGAACAGGGATTAGGGAGTGAGTAGGCAAGGGGTAATGGAGGGGGTAGAATATGGAGAACGGAAGAGAGATGGGGTAGGGTGTGGGGGTTGGGTTATGAGTGAGAAGGGGGTTGAAAAGGGGTTAGGGAGGGGATTAGGAAGGGATTAGGGAGGGGTAGAGAAGGGGTAAGGGATGTGTTGGGCAATGGGTTAGAGAAGGGATAAGGGTGTAGATAATAGTTATATGAAGTATAAAAGGAAAATGCCACGTATATTGAGATGAACCCCAACTTTGAAATAAATTATTACATTTTTCCATTTTTTACCATAACTATAATGATATACTATATAATGAAAGAGTTATATCAGGATGGTTGTAATAATATTTTTTTTTTATCATATCGAAACCACTACATTTAAATACATTACAGAAAAATTTAAAATCATTATAATGATTTCCTAATGGTAAACTCTGTTAACAGTAACTTTTACATGAAAAACTGAAATAATTTCCTATTTGGAAAAAAATAACGAAAAGTTAAGTTATAATACATCTGTTATGTATTATTATATTAGCTTCATGTGTTTGATATACGAAGCTGAAAGAAAATTTCCAAAACAGTTCTTTAACAGCACGACTTTAATATACCCGGTATCAATTATTATTAAATTGAATGTTGATTTCAACAGCACAATATACACACTTCTTTTTATGATATATAATTTGGGGGGATTAATTCATCTTGCTAGGCAGCAATCGCTGTTCATGTTTTGAAGTTAACAGGACAATATTTATAGCAATTAAGCAATCTTGCCTTTGGACTATAAGATATTTTTGAACTTACTATAACTGGCTCTGCTGAAATCGGGATCGTTGTTCCTTGGAAAAGTACATTTTCTGAAGTTTACGTCAGTTGCAGCTTGTCTACTTGAACAAGGGCACACAGATGCAGCTAAATAGTTGTAGGTCACGTTGAGGTCATTCTCATACCACATTAGACACTCAACACATGGGTTGACAAAATCGGCACCATTGAGGTCTAGGCGATAAATGTAGCTGCCCTGAAGGTACCAATATCACACAACAAGTTTAAAAAAGTAAAGCGATCATTAATACATAAACTATAACTCCATGTATGACTGGACAGCAACTTTTAACACAAAATATAATACTTTGAAACACATTTTTTTGTTAATCTGCATCTTGTAAAAGGGGAATAAAAATATGGACACTCATATATTTCATAGACCTAACTAATTGGATCACATGTGACTTCTGCAAAGATACAATGGACACAATTTGTATTCCGCATTCATCTCAGGTTTGTTGTTTGTTTAAAGTGTATTATTCAGAGAAATAGCGTTTTATAATGTAGCATTAAAATAGAATATAATTACTTCCAATTGAAGATATTATGTTATCAATTTAGCCCTTGATAAACCTTTGTCCGGAAAGTGCTAAACAGATAAGAAAAGCTTACCGTCTGACCCGTATTTCCTGTGACCAAGTCTCGTCGATAACTATTATAAATAGTGTTCTGATCAGTATCTTCATACAGATTTATTACATCGTCAATGTTACTGTATCCGACTCGTGCTGGTAATGGTTTTGATTGAGTCAGCCATTGAAGGTCTCCTGCCTGGTAGTTCATCATTACACCTGTCTGTTTGCCGTCGGTGAATACCACAGCCTGGTAGGTGTTTGACTGTGTAATAAATAATAATGATAATAGCTACATTTCGATTGGGTAAGTATATATCCTAGGGGTGCTCAATGCGCCTACAAAATAAAATTAATACCCTGGCGGTAGTTTAGCTGCCCTAAGGGGCTAAAAGGATTCAATAATGAATTCCTACCAGGTACCTATTTACTTCACCTGGGTGGAGAGTGACAAATGCAGACAAAGGTATTGCCAAAGCAAATTTTTACTGAGGAGGGACTTGAACCGCAGACCATATCTTAATCACAACCGGGTCATTGACGTAACATTCAATATTCAATGGAAAATAAGAACTTTCAGCAGTTTATCAAAGAGAAAGGCATTTACTGCATTAAAAAACGATAAAGAGAAGGTGGAGTTTTCAAAAGCAGGAGAAAAATAACTTCAATAAGGTTGTTGTTGTGGGTTGTACTGAAATAGACTATTTGGTTTAAGGATATAGAAACACACAAAAAAAGTGAGGGAGCTATACTCCTTTGGTTTTGTTACATATAGGATTACCTGATACGGTTGGGAGAGAATTAGAGACAATTAGGAGAAAGAAGTATTATTTCTTCAGTGACGTCTAGAAAAGACTGATGAACAGAAATTAAGACTGGTGGACCGGGTTATGAATGCAGAGAGAGAGCGCGAGGCTCGAAGTCCCAGAAGCGGGTTGACTGCTCTTTATCACTCTTTAATACAAAAAGTCAACCTGTTCAACCTCTATAATATGGCACACAAAAAGACCAAACACCAACACCTCGCCCAGTGGATGACTTACTTAAACTATAGGGGAAACTAGATGAAAATCTGTGATTATTGATATAGGTCAACATGCTTATGGCAATTTTTATAAACGTGATTGGTAGCAAACCACAGGAGCCATGTTATTCATTAAAGAAAATGATCCCCAATGCTTGAGTGAAACGAATTTGACTTATTTATCAATCATGTATTTTCGCAGAATTTCTAACTATCATGTGAACACAAAGTCAATGGAAAGTGACACACCTGTGGTACATGTTTCTAGTCTTACCTCCTGTCCCGGTTGTGATCCAGGGGGCTGGATACCTTCCCAAGTGATCTTCAACGCTGCTATGGGATTAATATCACTCAATTCCGAGTCTGCCCTGTTTAGCCTGCTCTTTAAGGCTTGAATAAGGTTGTTATCTGAGATGTCATACTCATCTTGAAGCTAGACAAAATAGTTAGATATATGAGAATAGAAATAAAGAACTTTAATATTACATTAAAAAAGAAAATCTTGGATGAAATATCACATTCTGATATTTTACATGTTGACACTTTGAAGTCTCACATGAAGATGAGCTTATACATATAGTGATTGGTTTTCTACCAATGTTTTTTTTATCTTGATAAGTTTTATTGGTCAGAAAACACAATGGTTTACAAAATACGTGTTACATTGTTTTGCAGAAAAATAATGAATAATCATATTGTTTCACACGTTTCACATTTCAGTGTAACATTAAAAAAACATAGCATGATACTTATGTACACCCCGGCCGCACAGACGAAACGACCATCAGACCGACACTAGTTAAACGGAAAGAGAGAGGCTAAGAAGTAAAGAATATTGCTCCCACTGGTTGGCATCAGGCAAAGTTGTTTGATTTCACCCACCATGTTCAATATATTCTTTGAACATATCATGACAGAATCTCAGCCAGCAAAGGTGGATTATGTGCTATCAATCTGAGATTTGCTAATGACAACGACCTAATTTTTGGAACACCATAATATGGTCCCTTACAGGATTACAAAAAGTAATCTTGGAATGAAAATCAGTGCTGATAAAAGCAAGACCCGTAAGATGGGTTCTGGTGAGAATGTAACAGTAAAGATTGGAAGAGAACAGCTGGAAACCATTGATCAATTTAACTATAACAGAGAACGCTAGATCTGCACAGACAGTCAAAGTCAAAATTGCAGCTGCTACATCAAGATTCAAGTTTCCAAGTTTATTTATTTATTTCCACACATCTCAAACAATTTTAACATGAGAAGTGTAAAACATAATACACAATTATTCCTTCCAGAGATTATAACATCTTAATAACTATTGCACGGTCATGTATCATCAAATGATGAAAGGGAAAAACAAAATCTTGTTTGCTTCAAGCTCAAGAGTGAGTGAGGGGGTGGGGGGAATCATAAGAGAAGCTTAGCTTGTATTATTGTCCCTTTAAATAACTTACTTAAAAATTAACAATAAAGTGTGACAAATGAAAGAGAGAATGAGAGAGAGAGAGAGTAGAGAATGAGGAAGGGAGCGAAATTAGGATGGTAATGAAGCAGTTTAAAGAAAAAAAGGTTCCAATTACATTATAGTTTCTTACTCTTTGAAAACAAATTGCTCTTAATCACTCAAATGCTTGCTTCATGCTTAAAGGCAGTATGTACTAGTTTAGCTAGTAGGGATCACTTGTAGTGTCACTTGAGCAAAGACTATCAGGGGACAAGATGGTTTGTACGCATGCGAGTGGACTTAAACTTTGTGTGTGTTTTCCATAGAGTATACTACATGTATAGTAATCGTGGCTGCCATCGGCATCGCGCGCGTTTGGCTAGGCTTTGCAGTATATTATTTGTATTAAATATAGGCCCATTTGTAAACTGTATTTTAGCCAGTGGCTGCAATCAACAGTGTTAACCATGAATAAATAAATAAATTAGTACATAGTCTATTTCAGATAAATTAAGAGTACATACATGTATGTATATATTAAGATAACATCTGGATTCTTTGTTCATCTTGGATGTTAGTGCATGAGAATATAACCATAGATCTTGATCTAGAGATCTAGGTGAACTTGAACTAGTCTAGTAAAAGGAAGCCCATAATATGACTTTCTGAATCATTTTTAAAATCAAATATTAAGTCTATATTAGGCCTTTAAGCACAGTCATTGTGAAGTTGGGGGAACGATTAACCCACATTAAATCCAGCAGTGTATCCATATTTTTACCCCCAAAACAATATTTTAATTTCAGTTGTCCACTTCGAATCTGATTCTGTGCCAGCAGACGACCATGCCACTGTACTGTGTACATATGCTAAACAATGCGCGATGCCGATGGCAATGTTATAGTGGCGATAATGATACTCTCTGTGGAACAGACAAAGCTGCTCAAGTCCACGCGCATGCGTACAAACCATCTAGTACACTGAAAGTCTTTGCTCAAGTGGCAATATGTAAGCGTTAGGGTTACGGAGAAAAAAAATTGCGTCCAGGGTAGGGTGCCTTTACGGACAGCTCGATCCACTTTTTTCCCCTTGTGATTTCTAGTTCTAGCTGACCCCCCAAATAAAATTGAAATTAGGTGTATTTCTAATTCGATACCACTACACTAGTACTACCAGTGATTTTATTAACGGTCAGCACACTCTAACGTTTGCGAAACAGACCAAAGTAATTCTCCTCACGTTTCGGTTTCGTGTAGATCTAGGCCTAGTCTATGTTGGCTTGTTGCACGCACATGATTAGATCTACTGCGGTCACGTCGTTCGTACGCATTATATCTGATTGGCCCCAAGTCAGGCCACGGGAAAGACACGTAGTCTGATTATGCTACACCCCTTTAACTCGCATTTATTTACATCGTTTGGACACAATTCGAATGTGCATTGCATTCACTGCTACCTTCAAACTACTATTGGCGACAATAGTCAAATTACTGACTAATCGCCAATAACTCAAAACACAACATATACGTGAACGCAACATCAAACTAAAGGTATGGGGCTACTGTATTTGTTTACATCTGCAACAAAGTGATAGGGCCTACTGATAGTGAATAGTGGTACATGTTGATTTACTTTGGCAACTTTTTGGTCTCAAGGATTGTCGTACTACAAATCACACAAACTTACAGAAAATATAAATCCATAAGATTTAGAAAATATTAGGCATAACAATTCAATAAGCAAATAAAATAGCCAAATTAATGTTAAAACTTACCGGCGACGGCATAACATCGCAAGGCAGAAAGCACTTGCAAGTTGCAGGTGACGAGCATAACTAGCTCTCGATGTATCCGGGCTAACTCGCCCCACGGGACATCTCGCCCCGGCCTCAAAGACTGGGGCGAGATGTCCCGACATGATTCACCGATCGAGAGATACCAATTTATATGTTTGTGCTCATTGTGACTTAATAATGCCATTTACAACCACAACCTGTAATGGAATTGTGTTAAATGATACTATTGAAGACAATCTATAACTTCTCTTTAGGTAAAATGACCAAAAAAAAAATGGCATTTCGGACAATTTACTCACAGCTCGCAATTCGCATTGCCGCACGTACAATAAATGTGCATTGTATCGACTCGGACCACTGAAATTCGAACAGTGTTTTTGTCATTAAATCCTGCAAAAATATCATTTTCATAATGTATGAATGTCTATTTTTGATTCCTGGCATAAATTTCGTTATTGAGAAGTCGAATGTACTACATTTTAGACGAGATAGCTGATGTTTGTTCACATTCTTTCGTCCTGGCCGTAAACTAGCAGACTACTGCTAGTGCTACCGTCGGGACATCTCGCCCCAGTCTCGCAGAGTTAGCCTGACGTACTCCCTCTAGATTTATCTCTAGTGCTGGAGTCAGCCACAAATAATGTAAATCGCAGACGATAGCAATGCAAAAAATCCTCGTCAGGTTGTTGGTACATGTACACTTAATATTAACTCAAATCATACCTGATAAAACATTTTGGGATCACCAATGCTGAGGTCGACTGCAGCTCCTAGGACAGCAATTGACGCATCATTATCAGTTGCAGTGAAGAGAGATGGGTTTGTGTACTGAGTCAGAGACTTGTCGATCGAACATCTGACGTTGGAGAACTCGATCATGCCAGTAGCTGTGAACTACATGTAAATTAGATAATCAAAAAGATATTATTTGTTCAAGTTTTTGACTTTTGAGCAATCATGGATAATGTTATATTATACAAATGCTTTGAGGGACATGGCTAAAACTATTTCCCAGGGCGATCTCGAAAACTGTATCGTTCCCCAAGATGAAATCGACGGGCACATGCAGTTTCCAGGTCACAGCTATGATGGAGATGTCATGTGCAGGCCATGTATCAATGGTCATGCAACCACCACCCCTTAACTCTTACTGTACTGGGGGGGGGGGGGGGGGGGGTCTGGGAGCCCCCCCCCCACCTTCGATATTTTCGGAGATTGCGCCGGAACCGCTTGGAATTTTGAATTGTCGTTTCATGACTTTTTCTCTCAAGTCAACCCCCCCCCCTATTGAAAAATCCTGGATTCGCGCCTCAGCCATGCCCTTTCGTTCCAAAGGCTAAACAGGTCAGATACTTAATGTTTAGATTAATTAATAATTAATGTACATTGTTGCTAGTTTAAATTACACTGCCTATTTGTTTCTAAGTAAGGGAAAATCCCGGTATGGTGGTCTACCTGCTCATCCCAATCAGTTTTACAGGAAGAAGAGATTCCGGGGTCACTGCAATTTCCCTAATTCCAAGGGACTGATACACCAAGCCATCAATACTACTACTATTACTACTACTACTACTACTACTACTAGTGGTATTATTATTATTATTTTTACAAGAAGTAGTAGTATCAGTAAAAGTAATAATAATAATAATAATAACAATGATAATAACATTGATAACAATAAACCTACCCGTATAGTTGTGTATAGATGCCCGTTGCCGATCGGAAAACATGACTTGATATCAACGCACCCCCAAGCCAGTAAGTTAGATTGGAAAGTAACCTGTTCATCAATGTCTGCTCCATAATCCAAGTAGATTATCTCTATGGAAATACAAATGTAAAACAATTAAAGAAAACGTGGAGAACAAAAATAGTAAGAAAGTGAAAATATTGTAAATTTCAATGTATAAAGGCATTAACGAGCAATACGATAATAAACATGCCTTGTTACCGAAAATACACCAGATTTTAGTCTTTTCACAGGTACATCCTCATATGCAAATTATTGATGGATGAAAATGAGTTCACTATAATGATCGATACAAGCTCAAGTTGAGGCTATTTTAATCTCCATGCACCATACAAAGCAGTCAAGCTAGGTACGATAGTTAAACCTATACTGCAACCACAACAAGAGTGGACAAATCCAATAATGAAGAAATTAGGAAAGGCAATATTTGACCTAAACAACAAAATCTCTGGTAAAGAGGTATTTTTTATGCAACAAAGTCCGGCCCGTATTGACCTTACACACTAGGCCTAGGGGGTAATTTTAAAGGGAGTGAACATGCAGACGCGTACTATAAATAACACCGAGTGTGGGGGGGGGGGGGGAGGTATGAACATCGGAACTAACAAAATAAATAATAAGTAATCCACGCCTGATTAGTGGAAAATCGGACATACAGAGGCTTTCCACTATGACAGATTTATTTATACTTGGCGGAAAACTGGAAAATTAGGTGAAAAAATGTATATTAAATGCAAATTAATGACAGTTCAGAAATGAATTACTTCATTTGTGAAACAATTCATGAATTAACAACGGAAGTAAATGAACGAAGTATCTCTATTTAATTTTCAAATCTTTGGAAAAATCTTTGTCTTCGAAAGAAACTATTTTCTCGAAAAAATCTCACAAACTTTGATGTGCCCCTGCAAGAAAAAAAGTTGTGTAAAGCAAGTGATATTTCATTTGTGAGTGAAAAAACAAATATGGATAAAGACATCTCAGCGCCAATAGTAGCCTATCCGATATGCGTCGGGCTTCATGGCAAGTGTACTAATCGCGTTATGGAGACAGACATCAGCGCTGGCATCAGCCCGAGCTCCTATCATCGCTGTTGAACTCATCATTATTCATATCAGTTGTGTATTCATGCATGATTCATAAGACTAGCCTTATTTGGTGATCGATCCCTTTTATTCAACCAATCAAATATCATCTCCAAGTTCCTCATCGCTCATTGGCCCTTTTTGTCCATGTTACATAAATATTCACGAAAGAGCTTTAAAGGGGGTTCGTAGATTTTCTACGAACGAAACAATGTAAATAAAAGAAAGTCAACTTTTCATGACTACCAGCGATAAAAGGCGCTCGGGCTGACGCCCGCGCCGATGTCTGTCTCCAAAACCCGGTTAGTACACTTGCCAAAGCATAAAGCCCGACAAATATCGGATGGGCTTACGCCAATATTTGAATAGCTATAATCAGGCTGAAATATGCTACTCTTATAATTCCTCATAACAAATCAAAATAAATTGAGATCTTTGTGGGAATTACAATATAAACTATGCTCTACAACTGACCATTCACCCCCATTTTCCGTAGTGTCTATTCAAAATCAAGAAGAGGAAAAAAAAAATGTCATTCCTGCACCAAAATGTTCTGTTACTTATGTTGACTCTGAATTTAGCAAAACCTCAAATGTTTACCCCTCCAACGACTAACTGTTTCTTTCTTTTTATTTACTTGTTCGCTCTTTATCTTTAATAGTTTGATTAGCAAGGAGCAATATTTAAATGGGATTTCCTTTGCATAACAAGTGTTCATATGAAAGTACCGAATGTCATTTGCTTTGACTTTATGTCTTACCCGTTTCGCACATACTCCCAGTATAGCCCAGTACGCAGGCACAAGTATAGCTGTTCAATCCATCAGTACAAGTTCCTCCATTTTGACAAGGTTCAGGATTACAATCGTCGATATCTGTGCAAATTGAGTTCCAAAGACAATAAATGGAATACAAATTACGAAAATATATTGTCCCTTATGACAAAGCTTACTTCATTTGGCAGATTACAGCTAAAAGTAAAAACTGGCATTTTAAATGTAAATAATGACAGTTCAGGAATGAATGACTTCATCAGTAAAAATATGTGTCCATACGGAAAATGAAGCAAATGAACATAAAGTCTGTTTTAATATTTGCCTCTTTTTCCTGAATGGTGGCCTTAGAACCAACAAATAGAAACAAATCTCAGTTTAATCGCTATAAGGATGAATCATACGAGTCTCATCTTAATAAAAAACAGATCATAATTAATAGATGCCAGTGCGGTAATCACAATATAATATCTGCTCTTGAAGTAACATGCACTCCCTTTTCCATGTGTCTACCCGAAATCAAGAGGAGTGAAGTTTCTCTCATCACTGCATCTAAAGGCAAAACACCGTCACTCTTCGGTTTATACATTCATTCCTGTTGCCTCTAAATTATGAAAAACCTCCAAGATTTCCTTCACCAATAACTAAAGGTGTCTTTCTTTTTAATTTTGTTGTTCGCTCTTTATATATAATGTGATTGATGGGCAAGGAGAAATTACTTTCTGTGAAAGATGCAGGTATAAAGTTTGCTCTGAATTTATGTCTTACCTGTTTGGCACATACTCCCAGTATAGCCCAGTGTGCAGGCACAAGTGAAGCTGTTCACTCCATCAGTACAAGTTCCTCCATTCTGACAAGGATCAGGAGTACAACCATCGATATCTGTGCAAAATGAGTTCCAAACACAATGAATGGGATAAAAGTGACGAGAAAACATTTCATTTTTGATATATATTAGCGGATAACATGAAAATCAAGTAACAAAAACTGGCAGTTTAAAGGCTAATCATGTCATTTTAGATTTTTTGATTTGATTTGATTTGATTTGATTTCTGCATTTTTCCAAACAAAATATAACTGAATAACAAAGAACATATAAATGTAAGGTATAATACAACATAAACAAACAATAATTTCTTCATGTAATTTTTTTGTTATACATAATATATGTACATATAATAACGAAACTTATTATTTCCATAACATATTATCATAAATTTAAAGTAATCATAAGCAAAGCTTGACAAGAATGGCGGCCTAAAAAAAAAAAAAAAAAAAAAAAATTAAGGTAAAACTTAAAATGAAAAAGTGTTTAAACGATCATTGTGTATGAGTTGGTGAGTGTGTTGTGCAAGTATTGTGTGTGTATGTGTGTGGTTGTGTGTTTGCGCGTGCGTGCGTGTTTGTATGTGTTTGTAACGAATAGTGGAAGTGCACGTAGCTCTGTGAGGTATAGTGGAGTGGAAACAAATACAGCCTTTACAATAAAGGAAACTAAGAATACTAAATAGAAAACAAAATTGCAAAACTGAGTTGCAATGTGACCAAAATTTGACAATTGCCTACTGCATGCTGAAATCAGTTATGTAGATACTTCGATATAAGAGTTTTTTGGAGAGATGCTTAAAAAGAATAGAGAGATGAACAATGCCTTATTAAATTTGGTAAGGAGTTCCAAACATCTGGTCCATGATGTCTTACTGATTTTTGTGCAAATAGTAATTTAGGATTTTCTAATTGATAATTTGTTCAACAACGTGTGGGGTATGTGTGAATGTTTGAGTTTAAACTGTAAATATTGTGAAATGGGGATGGTAGTTGATTTTGAGAATATTTATACATAAAAATGCATGTCTGAAAAATGTGAATATCTTGTATTTTTAATGTTTTTAAACGTTGAAATAAAGGTTCCGTGTGTGATATATAATGTCAGTTAGTGATCATGCGAATTGCTCTCTTTTGAAGCAAAAATAAGGAATTAATTCTTGTTAAACTACAATTACCCCATACAATATTACAATATATCACATGTGATAAAATTAGAGAATTGTATAATATAACCATAGATCTTTCAGAAAGAATCTGTTTGAACTTAGACAGTATTCAAATATTCCTTGATATTGATGTATGTATTTTACGTATATGCTCATTAAAATTTAGATGAGAGTCAATAGTGACTCCTAACAAATTAACAGATTGTTTTTCAATGAGAGGCAAGCCATCAATCTCAATATTACAATTTCTTATATTATGTACGTTGGTCTGTTTAAAGTAAATGAAATTTGTTTTACTAAGATTTAATGACAATTAATTAGATTTACACCACCTAGAAATTTTCATTAATTCACAGTTTAACCGCGTTATGAGCGTATCTAAGTTTTTATGGGAATAGGAAATACTCGTATCATCAGCAAAGATGATAAAATTTAAAAGTGAAGAGGTTTCAATAATATCATTTATATAAATAATAAATAGCAATGGACCCAATATAGATCCTCGCGGTACTCCATATTTAATTGTTAATTTTGTTGATTCATGATTTTGGAAAGATACGTATTGTTGTCTGTCTTGTAAATAATTAGTAAACCATGAAAGAGCTTGACCTCTTACGCCATAGTATTGTGAATTAATATTTTATGATCAATCGTATCAAAAGCTTTTGACAAGTCCATAAATACTCCAACAATATGTTCACTGTTCGCAAAAGCCTCAATTATTTTATCATACATATGCAAAATGGCGTAACCGGTAGAATGACCAATTCTAAATCCGAACTGGTTAGGAATCAATGAATTATTTGTTTGTAGGAAAGTGTTAAGTCTTTTATATATTATTTTTTCGAGAATTTTAGAGATACTTAGTAATAATGAAATTGGCCTATAATTACTTATTACTGAGGAATCGTCCTTTTTATAAATAGGAATCACTTTAGCGATTTTAAGCAAATGTGGGCATACACCCGTTGAAATTGATAAATTAAAAACTATGTAAGGGGGGTTACGATATTAAAGATTATTTGTTTCAATAAGTGAAGACTTATACTATCATGGCCACTAGATTTTGTAGAATTAAGGTGTTGAACTACATTAATAATTTCATAATCATTGGTTGGAGTAAGAAATAAGGAATTTTCACGTGAGAAATTCAAGGACTTATTGTAGTCCATGTCACCTTAATCAATATTAGCTGCTAAATTAGGGCCTACATCTATATTAAGAAACATTCATTATTTTCTGTATTTTTCTTGCCTAAGAGTTCCTTTACAGTTTTCCATAATAAATTATTGTTACTTTTATTACTTTCTATGTTGTTTGAATAATATAACTTCTTGGACAATCGTATACGAGATGTAAGATGATTCCTATACGTTTTATACTTCTTAAGCTTGTCGTTACATTGACTTGTAAGGGCTTCCTTATACAACTTATTACGGGCGACTATGGAACGCAAAATACCCTTAGTAATCCATGGTTGTTTGGCCTTTTTACCTTTTTTAAAATTTTGACCAGGGGTATATTCTTATGATAATAATGTAATACAATTTCTAGAAATTGTTCATATGCTACATTTACGTCAGATACACATAATACCTCGACCCATTCTTCTTTGGCTAAATCAAAGTTTAATGATTAAATATTATGTTTTGTTTGTTTTCTATGCATTGCACAATTATTTTTAGTCATTTTTTTTAACAAGGTGAACTTTAGAAATAATAAATATCGGTAAATGGTCAGAAATATCGTAATACAACAGACCATTTGTAAAATTGTTATGAGCTACATCCGAAAAAATATTGTCAATGAGAGTTTGAGAAAAACATTGTTGGTTTATCAATATGTGGGTTAAATGCGTAAGATTGCAGTGTACTACTAACTTTCACAATGTGGTTATCATCAGAATTTAAAAGATTAATGTTAAAATCGCCCGTTATATAAACTTCTTTATTTTCTCGGGAAACAGTATCAAGACATCTATCAAAATTGTCCAAATATATTTCTACATTATGATTAGGGGGTCTATACATTATGCCAACTATTATGTTTTCGGTTTTATCATTTAATATTTCAATATATAAATTTTCAGCACCTTCAGTGTGTAAGTCAGACCTGACTTTAATTTTAAAATGATTATGTATGTATAGCGCTACTCCGCCCCCTCTACTATGGCCACGATCAGAACGAAACATGTGATAGTTTGGTATATTAAATAGAGGTGGGGAATTTTTATGGAGCCAAGTTTCAGATAAACCTATTATGGAAAACTGGAAGTTATTTAATTGTAAAAAAAAATTATTGTACGGACTCAAAATTCTTATTCCTACTTCTACTATTAACGTGAAATAGGCTGAAGTCAGGATTGGCTTGAAGATTCATGGAGTTTGAGCGTTATTATTGGATGAATTAAAACTAGAATTAAATTCTTCTACTGTATAATATTTACTTTCAACATTTCTCAAACCTTGGTCAAAATTTGCGTTAGGAAAAATCATTCAGAATTCGTGAAGATCTCAAGTATACAAGAAAAGCCACAGAGAGCACGCTGTGTGAGTTTGTGTCCATGTGTGAAAGTGTGAGTCTGTGCATGTAATTTTGTGAACGTGTGTACGTTCTTGTGTACATTTGAATTAAATTTATTTGTAAAACTATTCATACATTATTCAATTGAAATTGATCAACTAAATATCTCTTGAAATGTTTTTCTCTTTTCCAAAATCGAGGCCTTAGCAAGAAAATATATTCATGAAAAGAATATCATCGTCTCAAAAAACTTAGTGTGCCCCTGCCAGACAGAAAGGGTCACTAAAGCAAACGTTTGTGTTCTTGCTTGAAAAAAAAAAAGATTATTGGGAAAGATTGTTGTGGTACTCACAATTTCAAATCTGTTCTTTAAATGACCATGCACTTCCGTTTACCATGTGTCAACTAGAGATGATTAAGAGTGTAGTTTCTCTTATTTCTGCACTAACAGGTGGGACACCCTAATATCTTTGTCTCTACATTCACTCCTGTCGACTCTGATTAAAGAAAAACCTCTGAGATTTTTCTCACCAATGACTAAAGGTTTCTTTCATTTCATTTCCTAGTTCGCTCTTTATCTATAACGTCTTGATGTGCAAGGTGCAATTACTTTACATAAAAAGTGTATGTATGAAAGTTTGTAATTTGTTTTGACTCAATGTCTTACCTGTTTCGCAATCGTTTCCAGTATAGCCCAGTACGCAGGCACAAGTATAGTCGTTCACTCCATCAGTACAAGTTCCTCCATTCTGACAGGGGTCAGGAGTACAATCGTCGATATCTGTGCAAAATGAGTTCCAAACACAATAACTGGGATAAAAGTGACGAGAATAACATTTCATTGTTGACATATTTATTTTCATTTAGCGGATAACAGGAAAATCAAGACAACAAAACCGGCATTTTAAGGGCTAATAATGTCATTTTTGATATGAATTAATTCATTTGTAAAACTAATCATACATTATTCAATTGAAATTGATCAACTAAATATCTCTTGAAATGTTTTTCTCTTTTCCAAAATCGAGGCCTTAGCAAGAAAATATATTCATGAAAAGAATATCATCGTCTCAGAAAACTAAGTGTGCCCCTGCCAGACAGAAAGGGTCAGTAAACAAACGTTTTTGCTCTTACTTGAAAACAAATGATTATTGGGAAAGATTGTTGTGGTAATCACAATTTCAAATCTGTTCTTTAATTGACCATGCACTTCCGTTTACCATGTGTCAACTTGAGATGATTAAGAGTGTAGCTTTCCTTATTTCTACACTAACAGGTGGGACACCCTAATATCATTGTCTCTACATTCACTCCTGTCGACTCTGAATAAAGAAAAACCTCCGAGATTTTTCTCACCAATGACTAAAGGTTTCTTTCATTTCATTTCCTAGTTCGCTCTTTATCTATAATGTCTTGATGAGCAAGGTGCAATTACTTTACATAAAAAGTGTATGTATGAAAGTTTGTAATTTGTTTTGACTCAATATCTTACCTGTTTCGCAATCGTTTCCAGTATAGCCCAGTACGCAGGCACAAGTATAGTCGTTCACTCCATCAGTACAAGTTCCTCCATTCTGACAGGGGTCAGGAGTACAATCATCGATATCTGTGCAAAATGAGTTCCAAACACAATACATGGGATAAAAGTGACGAGAATAACATTTCATTGTTGACATATTTATTTTCATTTAGCGGATAACAGGAAAATCAAGACAACAAGACCGGCATTTTAAGTGCTAATAATGTCATTTTTGATTTGAATTAATTCATTTGTAAAACTAATCATACATTATTCAATTGAAATTGATCAACTAAATATCTCTTGAAATGTTTTTCTCTTTTTCAAAATCGAGGCCTTAGCAAGAAAATATATTCATGAAAAGAATATCATCGTCTCAGAAAACTTAGTGTGCCCCTGCCAGACAGAAAGGGTCACCAAAGCAAACGTTTTTGCTCTTACTTGAAAACAAATCATTATTGGGAAAGATTGTTGTGGTAATCACAATTTCAAATCTGTTCTTTAAATGACCATGCACTTCCGTTTACCATGTGTCAACTTGAGATGATTAAGAGTGTAGTTTCCCTTTTTCTGCACTAACAGGTGGGACACCCTATTATCTTTGTCTCTACATTCACTCCTGTCGACTCTGAATATAGAAAAATGTCTGAGATTTTTCTCACCAATGACTAAAGGTTTCTTTCATTTCATTTCCTTGTTCGCTCTTTATCTATAATGTCTTGATGAGCAAGGTGCAATTACTTTACATAAAAAGTGTATGTATGAAAGTTTGTAATTTGTTTTGACTCAATGTCTTACCTGTTTCGCAATCGTTTCCAGTATAGCCCAGTACGCAGGCACAAGTATAGTCGTTCACTCCATCAGTACAAGTTCCTCCATTCTGACAGGGGTCAGGAGTACAATCGTCGATATCTGTGCAAAATGAGTTCCAAACACAATAAATGTGATAAAAGTGACGAGAATAACATTTCATTGTTGACATATTTATTTTCATTTAGCGGATAACAGGAAAATCAAGACAACAAAACCGGCATTTTAAGGGCTAATAATGTCATTTTTGATTTGAATTAATTCATTTGTAAAACTAATCATACATTATTCAATTGAAATTGATCAACTAAATATCTCTTGAAATGTTTTTCTCTTTTTCAAAATCGAGGCCTTAGCAAGAAAATATATTCATGAAAAGAATATCATCGTCTCAGAAAACTTAGCGTGCCCCTGCCAGACAGAAAGGGTCACCAAAGCAAACGTTTTTGTTTTTACTTAAAAACAAATGATTATTGGGAAAGATTGTTGTGGTAATCACAATTTCAAATCTGTTCTTTAAATGACCATGCACTTCCGTTTACCATGTGTCAACTTGAGATGATTAAGAGTGTAGTTTCCCTTATTTTTACACTAACAGGTGGGACACCCTAATATCTTTGTCTCTACATTCACTCCTGTCGACTCTGAATAAAGAAAAATGTCCGAGATTTTTCTCACCAATGACTAAAGGTTTCTTTCATTTCATTTCCTAGTTCGCTCTTTATCTATAATGTCTTGATGAGCAAGGTGCAATTACTTTACATAAAAAGTGTATGTATGAAAGTTTGTAATTTGTTTGACTCAATGTCTTACCTGTTTCGCAATCGTTTCCAGTATAGCCCAGTACGCAGGCACAAGTATAGTCGTTCACTCCATCAGTACAAGTTCCTCCATTCTGACAGGGGTCAGGAGTACAATCGTCGATATCTGTGCAAAATGAGTTCCAAACACAATAAATGGGATAAAAGTGACGAGAATAACATTTTGTTTTGACATATTTATTTTCATTTAGCGGATAACAGGAAAATCAAGACAACAAAACCGGCATTTTAAGGGCTAATAATGTCATTTTTATTTGAATTAATTCATTTGTAAAACTAATCATACATTATTCAATTGAAATTGATCAACTAAATATCTCTTGAAATGTTTTTCTCTTTTCCAAAATCGAGGCCTTAGCAAGAAAATATATTCATGAAAAGAATATCATCGTCTCAGAAAACTTAGTGTGCCCCAGCCAGATAGAAAGGGTCACCAAAGCAAACGTTTTTGTTCTTACTTGAAAACAAATCATTATTGGGAAAGATTGTTGTGGTAATCACAATTTCAAATCTGTTCTTTAAATGACCATGCACTTCCGTTTACCATGTGTCAACTTGAGATGATTAAGAGTGTAGTTTCCCTTATTTCTACACTAACAGGTGGGACACCCTAATTTCTTTGTCTCTACATTCACTCCTGTCGACTCTGAATAAAGAAAAACCTCCGAGATTTTTCTCACCAATGACTAAAGGTTTCTTTCATTTCATTTCCTTGTTCGCTCTTTATCTATAATGTCTTGATGAGCAAGGTGCAATTACTTTACATAAAAAGTGTATGTATGAAAGTTTGTAATTTGTTTGACTCAATGTCTTACCTGTTTCGCAATCGTTTCCAGTATAGCCCAGTACGCAGGCACAAGTATAGTCGTTCACTCCATCAGTACAAGTTCCTCCATTCTGACAGGGGTCAGGAGTACAATCGTCGATATCTGTGCAAAATGAGTTCCAAACACAATAAATGGGATAAAAGTGACGAGAATAACATTTCATTGTTGACATATTTATTTTCATTTAGCGGATAACAGGAAAATCAAGACAACAAAACCGGCATTTTAAGGGCTAATAATGTCATTTTTTATTTGAATTAATTCATTTGTAAAACTAATCATACATTATTCAATTGAAATTGATCAACTAAATATCTCTTGAAATGTTTTTCTCTTTTCCAAAATCGAGGCCTTAGCAAGAAAATATATTCATGAAAAGAATATCATCGTCTCAGAAAACTTAGTGTGCCCCTGCCAGACAGAAAGGGTCACCAAAGCAAACGTTTTTGCTCTTACTTGAAAACAAATGATTATTGGGAAAGATTGTTGTGGTAATCACAATTTCAAATCTGTTCTTTAAATGACCATGCACTTCCGTTTACCATGTGTCAACTTGAGATGATTAAGAGTGTAGTTTCCCTTATTTTGCACTAACAGGTGGGACACCCTAATTTCTTTGTCTCTACATTCACTCCTGTCGACTCTGAATAAAGAAAAACCTCCGAGATTTTTCTCACCAATGACTAAAGGTTTCTTTCATTTCATTTCCTTGTTCGCTCTTTATCTATAATGTCTTGATGAGCAAGGTGCAATTACTTTACATAAAAAGTGTATGTATGAAAGTTTGTAATTTGTTTTGACTCAATGTCTTACCTGTTTCGCAATCGTTTCCAGTATAGCCCAGTACGCAGGCACAAGTATAGTCGTTCACTCCATCAGTACAAGTTCCTCCATTCTGACAGGGGTCAGGAGTACAATCGTCGATATCTGTGCAAAATGAGTTCCAAACACAATAAATGGGATAAAAGTGACGAGAATAACATTTCATTGTTGACATATTTATTTTCATTTAGCGGATAACAGGAAAATCAAGACAACAAAACCGGCATTTTAAGGGCTAATAATGTCATTTTTGATTTGAATTAATTCATTTGTAAAACTAATCATACATTATTCAATTGAAATTGATCAACTAAATATCTCTTGAAATGTTTTTCTCTTTTCCAAAATCGAGGCCTTAGCAAGAAAATATATTCATGAAAAGAATATCATCGTCTCAGAAAACTTAGTGTGCCCCTGCCAGACAGAAAGGGTCACCAAAGCAAACGTTTTTGTTCTTACTTGAAAACAAATGATTATTGGGAAAGATTGTTGTGGTAATCACAATTTCAAATCTGTTCTTTAAATGACCATGCACTTCCGTTTACCATGTGTCAACTTGAGATGATTAAGAGTGTAGTTTCCTTATTTCTACACTAACAGGTGGGACACCCTAATTTCTTTGTCTCTACATTCACTCCTGTCGACTCTGAATAAAGAAAAACCTCCGAGATTTTTCTCACCAATGACTAAAGGTTTCTTTCATTTCATTTCCTTGTTCGCTCTTTATCTATAATGTCTTGATGAGCAAGGTGCAATTACTTTACATAAAAAGTGTATGTATGAAAGTTTGTAATTTGTTTTGACTCAATGTCTTACCTGTTTCGCAATCGTTTCCAGTATAGCCCAGTACGCAGGCACAAGTATAGTCGTTCACTCCATCAGTACAAGTTCCTCCATTCTGACAGGGGTCAGGAGTACAATCGTCGATATCTGTGCAAAATGAGTTCCAAACACAATAAATGGGATAAAAGTGACGAGAATAACATTTCATTGTTGACATATTTATTTTCATTTAGCGGATAACAGGAAAATCAAGACAACAAAACCGGCATTTTAAGGGCTAATAATGTCATTTTTGATTTGAATTAATTCATTTGTAAAACTAATCATACATTATTCAATTGAAATTGATCAACTAAATATCTCTTGAAATGTTTTTCTCTTTTCCAAAATCGAGGCCTTAGCAAGAAAATATATTCATGAAAAGAATATCATCGTCTCAGAAAACTTAGTGTGCCCCTGCCAGACAGAAAGGGTCACCAAAGCAAACGTTTTTGCTCTTACTTGAAAACAAATGATTATTGGGAAAGATTGTTGTGGTAATCACAATTTCAAATCTGTTCTTTAAATGACCATGCACTTCCGTTTACCATGTGTCAACTTGAGATGATTAAGAGTGTAGTTTCCTTATTTCTACACTAACAGGTGGGACACCCTAATTTCTTTGTCTCTACATTCACTCCTGTCGACTCTGAATAAAGAAAAACCTCCGAGATTTTTCTCACCAATGACTAAAGGTTTCTTTCATTTCATTTCCTTGTTCGCTCTTTATCTATAATGTCTTGATGAGCAAGGTGCAATTACTTTACATAAAAAGTGTATGTATTAAAGTTTGTAATTTGTTTGACTCAATGTCTTACCTGTTTCACAATCGTTTCCAGTATAGCCCAGTACGCAGGCACAAGTATAGTCGTTCACTCCATCAGTACAAGTTCCTCCATTCTGACAGGGGTCAGGAGTACAATCGTCGATATCTGTGCAAAATGAGTTCCAAACACAATAAATGGGATAAAAGTGACAAGAATAACATTTCATTGTTGACATATTTATTTTCATTTAGCGGATAACAGGAAAATCAGGACAACAAAACCGGCATTTTAAGGGCTAATAATGTCATTTTTGATTTGAATTAATTCATTTGTAAAACTAATCATACATTATTCAATTGAAATTGATCAACTAAATATCTCTTGAAATGTTTTTCTCTTTTCCAAAATCGAGGCCTTAGCAAGAAAATATATTCATGAAAAGAATATCATCGTCTCAGAAAACTTAGTGTGCCCCAGCCAGATAGAAAGGGTCACCAAAGCAAACGTTTTTGTTCTTACTTGAAAACAAATGATTATTGGGAAAGATTGTTGTGGTAATCACAATTTCAAATCTGTTCTTTAAATGACCATGCACTTCTGTTATACCATGTGTCAACTTGAGATGATTAAGAGTGTAGTTTCCCTTATTTTTGCACTAACAGGTGGGACACCCTAATATCTTTGTCTCTACATTCACTCCTGTCGACTCTGAATATAGAAAAATGTCTGAGATTTTTCTCACCAATGACTAAAGGTTTCTTTCATTTCATTTCCTAGTTTGCTCTTTATCTATAATGTCTTGATGAGCAAGGTGCAATTACTTTACATAAAAAGTGTATGTATGAAAGTTTGTAATTTGTTTTGACTCAATGTCTTACCTGTTTCGCAATCGTTTCCAGTATAGCCCAGTACGCAGGCACAAGTATAGTCGTTCACTCCATCAGTACAAGTTCCTCCATTCTGACAGGGGTCAGGAGTACAATCGTCGATATCTGTGCAAAATGAGTTCCAAACACAATAAATGGGATAAAAGTGACGAGAATAACATTTCATTGTTGACATATTTATTTTCATTTAGCGGATAACAGGAAAATCAAGACAACAAAACCGGCATTTTAAGGGCTAATAATGTCATTTTTGATTTGAATTAATTCATTTGTAAAACTAATCATACATTATTCAATTGAAATTGATCAACTAAATATCTCTTGAAATGTTTTTCTCTTTTCCAAAATCGAGGCCTTAGCAAGAAAATATATTCATGAAAAGAATATCATCGTCTCAGAAAACTTAGTGTGCCCCAGCCAGATAGAAAGGGTCACCAAAGCAAACGTTTTTGTTCTTACTTGAAAACAAATGATTGTTGGGAAAGATTGTTGTGGTAATCACAATTTTAAATCTGTTCTTTAAATGACCATGCACTTCCGTTTACCATGTGTCAACTTGAGATGATTAAGAGTGTAGTTTCCCTTATTTCTACACTAACAGGTGGGACACCCTAATTTCTTTGTCTCTACATTCACTCCTGTCGACTCTGAATAAAGAAAAACCTCCGAGATTTTTCTCACCAATGACTAAAGGTTTCTTTCATTTCATTTCCTTGTTCGCTCTTTATCTATAATGTCTTGATGAGCAAGGTGCAATTACTTTACATAAAAAGTGTATGTATGAAAGTTTGTAATTTGTTTGACTCAATGTCTTACCTGTTTCGCAATCGTTTCCAGTATAGCCCAGTACGCAGGCACAAGTATAGTCGTTCACTCCATCAGTACAAGTTCCTCCATTCTGACAGGGGTCAGGAGTACAATCGTCGATATCTGTGCAAAATGAGTTCCAAACACAATAAATGGGATAAAAGTGACGAGAATAACATTTCATTGTTGACATATTTATTTTCATTTAGCGGATAACAGGAAAATCAAGACAACAAAACCGGCATTTTAAGGGCTAATAATGTCATTTTTGATTTGAATTAATTCATTTGTAAAACTAATCATACATTATTCAATTGAAATTGATCAACTAAATATCTCTTGAAATGTTTTTCTCTTTTCCAAAATCGAGGCCTTAGCAAGAAAATATATTCATGAAAAGAATATCATCGTCTCAGAAAACTTAGTGTGCCCCTGCCAGACAGAAAGGGTCACCAAAGCAAACGTTTTTGCTCTTACTTGAAAACAAATGATTATTGGGAAAGATTGTTGTGGTAATCACAATTTCAAATCTGTTCTTTAAATGACCATGCACTTCCGTTTACCATGTGTCAACTTGAGATGATTAAGAGTGTAGTTTTCCTTATTTCTACACTAACAGGTGGGACACCCTAATTTCTTTGTCTCTACATTCACTCCTGTCGACTCTGAATAAAGAAAAACCTCCGAGATTTTTCTCACCAATGACTAAAGGTTTCTTTCATTTCATTTCCTTGTTCGCTCTTTATCTATAATGTCTTGATGAGCAAGGTGCAATTACTTTACATAAAAAGTGTATGTATTAAAGTTTGTAATTTGTTTGACTCAATGTCTTACCTGTTTCACAATCGTTTCCAGTATAGCCCAGTACGCAGGCACAAGTATAGTCGTTCACTCCATCAGTACAAGTTCCTCCATTCTGACAGGGGTCAGGAGTACAATCGTCGATATCTGTGCAAAATGAGTTCCAAACACAATAAATGGGATAAAAG